TCCCTTTCACCCTCCTCCCTCCCCCCTTCCCCTCTGGTAACCACCAATCCAATCTCTGTCCCTATGTGTTTGTTTATTGTTGTTATTATCTACTTGACCACTTCTATAGAGAGGACAAAGTGGATTTGGAAAGGGTGTGGACTAGTGTGCTCTGTTATAAGCCTTTAAGTACCAATTGACTTATTCAACCGTGTACATGTGTTACTTTAATGAAAATGCAAATGAATTTTAAAATAAGTTACTGATATGTAACCATCTTTCTCACCTCTGTACACTAAGCCCATATATTAAAATTAATTTCTGGACCACTCCACAGGTATCTCAAACTCAGTATGTCTATCACTAAATTCCTAAATTTAACCTCATCCCCTAAACATCCAACCTCTCAAACTTATCTTCCTCTTATGTTGCCCAATGCAGGGAATAACAACACTCTCACCTGCAATCAAAGACAGAAACCTAAGAGTCATCTTCAAATCCTCCATTTTGCTTAACCCACTTATCTTTTTAATCACCAATTCCTAACAATTCTATTTCCTAAAAATCTTACAAATCTATTTCTCTCTGTGACCACTGCCACTTCTCTTGTCTAAGCTCCCATCATCTCTTGCAAATACTACTGCAATAGCCTCTTTATTTGTGTCTCTGCGACTCCAATCCTCCTATAATCCATCCCTCCACAGCCAGAGTCATCAATCAAGGGTTGGCACCCTAGGGTACATGGGCCAAATCCATCTGTTCCAGTAAGGCTTGTAAGCCAAGAATAGTTTTTTTCATTTTTAAATGGTTAAAAAAAAAAAACAAAAGAAGAACATTTTGTGACATGAAAATTATATGAAATTCAAATTTTGGTGTCCATAAATACAGCTTTATTGGAACACAGCCACACTCATTCAGTTACACACCATCTATGGCTGCTTTGAGGCTACAACAGCGATGTTCAGCAGTTGAGACAAAGACCACATGGCCCTCAAAGCCTGAAATAGTTACTATCTGAACCTTTACAGAAAATGTTTGTCAACCCCCATGCTCAATAATATTTGATGGTGTCACTGTTCTGCTTAAAACCCTTCCTTAGCTCCCAAATGCCTTTATGATCAAGTCGAGTGCTTAAAAGGAACTGGCTATTCCGGACCCTCTTTAATTATCTCGTCTTAAATTTTACCACTCTCTTGCTTCCCTGTGCCAGGTAATCTCTAGCCATACTATTGAGCTCCTCAATCATATCATATATTCTCTTGCTTTCAGGTTTTAGTATGCGGGTCATTCCTCTGCTTAGAAAACTCCCCTCACTTCACCTAACTTCTCCTCAAGCTTAAGTGTCACTTCTGGGAAGCCTTGCTTAAGCCTCTATGCATTTCCAAAGTGTTACAGCCCTGGACTGCGATTTTATGTTCCTTTATTTGTACATCTCACTACAGTATAAACTCTGGGAGGGCCAGTGACTATGTCTCTAACGTTCTTTACTGAATCTCAATGCCTAGAATAGTACCTGGCGCAAAGAAGACGCCTAGTAAAAACACAGCAAATGTTTAAATGAAGAAATGCTCCAGCATATTGAATGGATTCATTGTTTTATACGCTCCTTAAAGTTTTTGTTTACCTAAACATAGTATTCACAAACCACATATCCAAACAAAAAGAAACTGTATTGGGTGGGAGACTAGTATTGTGGTAAACGCTTTTGTTGGATCCAAAGCAGTATTATCTATCTAAGTAATCAAACCATTAGAAAGTGAATAACAGTATTAGAGCACATTCATTTCCTTTCACCTGATATGTATGTAAACATAGTCATTTAATCTGTGTATAGGCCCTGACAAGTTTTTCAAATTCTCCATCTTCAGCCCTTCTGTAATTCTGTACATTCATCACTCTTTTATTAAGTCAGCAAGTCAAATATTAAGCTTAAAAGTACAATAGGTACATTACCTTTATTCTTATCAACTCTAATATCTACCACTTTATGTTGCTATGAAATCTTCTTTTAAAAAAATGGAGTGGGAATATATATTTCATACAAATATAATTAAATAGTGTTTAGATGCTACAGGTTGACAAATATAAATCTGAAACCCAGCTCTGCCATTAACTAACTTGCTCAAGAGCATGCAGGTAACTTCTTAACCCTTGGTATCTTCAACCGCAAACTGGGGATAAATAATAGTAGCTAACTCATAGGTTTATGCTTTAACTTCTTTCTGCCAAGGAAACAGCCCAACTTCTGACAGACCTTTATCTTTAGGAAAGAAAGAAAAAAAGTGCTGATTAAATATAGAAAATAAAAATTTTGAACTTTGTACCTTTTTGTAGGAATGTTACTCCCAGAAGAAATTTTATCAAACGCTTTGTAAGAATACATCTCCAAGTTAGACTGCTTTTAAACATATAAAGGTCCATTAAAAAAAAATTAGAAGCTTCAAAAAACTTTTAAATATGAAGAAAATAAGATACAAAATATCACAATGACAATTTTTCCTCTGACTAACCAGGTCATCAAATAAATCACCTGAAAATAAGCCCTTGAATTATCAACTTCTAGGGTTCTAAAGGCAGTTAGCAATGCAATGCAATGTCCCATTCCCCACAAACCTATAGAGAATATATGATCAAAAGAATTCTTTGACACACAGCAGGAGCCAAAGGTACAAAAATGATTTGATTACATTCTGCATACTTTAATAAAGCAGAAAAAGTTCACTAGAAAATTTAACTCACCACATTTGTCTAATACCCCAGTGTTCTAATTAGCTGAAGTCTGCCTGTGGATAAGTATTTAATCCGTAATAGTTATCTAAGATCCAAAAACAAAGCAAGACAGTATGCATGTATGTGCGTGTGTGTCTATGTGTGTTTACCTTTAATGAGAACATTTAGGAATCAGGCTTATTCTTCCATACTCTACACATCATAATATGTAAAAAAAAAAACCCAAGCCAAATAAGTTATAAGATAGGCCTAAAAGAATCAAAATAGTTACTTTCTCAAATACTTCTAACTGTGCTATTAACCCCAGAAATCATATATCACATATTTTACTCTGTTCATATCACTTCTTTTTCCAAATTTTATGTTTTGTTATATATGACATTTTCCTCTTTAATTGGAGAGGAATTAAAATATAAAATTTTAAAATAAGAGTTATATCAATAAAGAATGAAATAAATAAGAACCACCTCTTTAATAAAAACAAACCTTCTCTGCAGTTAATTCAATTGGCATTTGACTAGAGGAATGTTGTTCAGTGCCTGAAGACACAGGTTTAGAACTGAAAAATAATAAAAATAAATTATCTCAAATATTAAAATGTAATTAATACATGAATCATCATACCTCCACTCTTACAAAGGCAGATAAGATTATATTACTCTTTTAGAAGTGATGATTCTTCAAATTGGTTTTTTTCCCCAGAAAAAGCTCTGAAAAGTTTAAGTTTAAAAGAAAAACTGATAACCTAACGCACAACCTAGTGATTACAGTCAACAAAGCTGTATTATAAACTTCAAAGTTGCTAAGAGACTAGATCTTAATTGTTCTCAACACAGAAAAGAAAAAATAATTATGGGACATGATGGAGGCGTTAGCTAACACTACTATAGTAATCATATTGCAATATACAAGTGTATCAAACCAACACGTATACTTCAAACTCCCACAATGTTATATGTCAATTATATCTCAATTAAAAAAAAGAAAAAAACGGATACATGATTGATAACATGTAAAGGTAATAAAAAGTAGGCAACAAGTGTATTCTGTTCCCTCCTTCTGCACCTAAGAAGGAAACATGGTATATGGATTCTTCAACACTGATCTCAATGCTGCTGCTTTAATCAATAGGAAAGCCGCTTTCTAAATACTATACTCAACTGCTTCCTATTAACCTGGAAAGTCTTCTACGATTTATCTTTTTCCCACTGACCCACACTCCCAAACTGACTAAAAGAGGTATGTAAAGACAATATCTTTACTCATTTTACTTGTAGGCTGCCTGTAAATTGGTATAATTTGAATCAATTAAACAACAAAAAACCCGCAAGTTTAAAAAAAACCTGAAAAATGGACCTTGGTAGAAGAAACTTCTTTGGACACAATTCTTCATTAGCTTGAAGGATAAGTCTCCGAGGAGATCCTGTATTGGCTTTATCAAGCCAATTTCTACCCTATTGAATGCAAGAAGAACCTTTTAATACATAGTGAGAAAAATTAAATCAAATAGGTAGACTTCTACATTTTTACCTTTTTTGTAAGCGTGCAAATCTTTACAAATTTCCTAGGCCTGGGAACTTCGACCAAGAATCCCTCAGTCACGAGCTGATGGGAAAAAGCCCTCCACCACTTCCTTGTTTGATCCTTGCCAGTGCCAAATAAACTATGACTGCGATGTTTATCTGCAAGATACTTGGAATTCTGAAATTAGGAATAAAATCAATATCTAAAAATGCTTATTTAAGTAAACAGGTAAAACACAACACTGTGTATTAATTCTTTGGATTTAACACTAAATTTCAGCTTTAAACACCTACAAAATTTTTATACCCATCCTGCTAGCTCTGAATATTTAAGTCACAAATAAATATATAATCAAAATAGTGTTCCTTTTGTGTTTCAAATAACGAAATTCCACATATAATTTACATGCATTTCCCAATGTACAGTTTGGATATGTTTGGAATATTTAACCCCTGCTTTTTAGACCTTTTATTAACATACCCACATCACTGTTTGAAAACAGTGATCATAATCTACAGCTCAAGACCAGAAGCACGGGCGTTAAAAGGCAGTGTGACCTGACAGCTAGTCAGCAAGTGCAGCCCAGCGACTCAGGGTTTCCACCGCGTGGCTGTTTTTACCATGCCTTTGTTCACGATGCACTGCAAGGTTTACTTCATCATTTCTGATGTAGCTGCTTCACTGAGATACACTAGGAAAAGTTCTAGAAATGTTGGGGAAGCTAGTCTGTCATACACAATTCTCTCGTCCTCTAATGTAGACAACTCTCCCCACCTTCACTCTCTATAAAGTACTTTTCCATTCACCTGGTCCTCTTACTACTTCTTTCATTCATTCTACACACTTAAATACTACTTTTAAATGTATGTATACAGTAGGATATGAACATAGGGCTTTATGGAAAATTGCTCCTGTCTAATGTATGTGTGGTGAAGACGGCAGATTCTAATTCAAGGGTCATTCTAGCCTTCATCCTCTGTGACTTCCTCTACCACAGAATCTGGGAAGTTATACACACTATTTCTCAAATTTCCTTTCAGCTAGGGTTCCGAACATGATTTAAGTTCCACTAGTCAGAAGCATTTTTACATGACATCTGTAAGAAAGAAGTACTATTTTTGTAGATACACTTGATTGTGGAGGGGTTTTCTTTTTGCGAGAAAGTGTTAGCAAAGATCCAGCATAAAACTACTAGTTCCTAAGTATCAAGAGGCATCATCCATTTTGTTGATACAGATTATAGCAGGTGCAGGGTGGTTCCCAGAGCGAGCAGAAGTAGAACCTTCCTGATGTTACAGCCCCTTTCAGTGCAGTTGGGGGTCAGGTGCTGTAGTGGCAGCTTCCCAAATTGACAGATAGCTTCTCGAGTACGGAAGAGGCAGCAGCTCCTGTGGTGGACTACTTTGCAGTATAATCTTATCAACAATACTACAAGCTATTTAATGCTCAATAATAAATATGTTTTTGTTTAAATCAGCTAGAGTAATTATGAGCTTTCTAATATAACTACTGTATTTTAGGTTATATTGATGTTTCAAAAACGTTCATCTCTTGAATATGTCAAGCAGTTACTGTATTCTAAAAATTTCAATATAAAACACAGTCTAAAATTTTAGAAACAGACACAGCCTGTAATTCAACATTTTTACATTTCATCTATACCCTAATGAAGGTTTAACAATCAATGCATATAAAAATACACCGATCAAAATCAAAAGAATATATAGGATGAGTTCCAGCAGACATAACTCAGGCACTGTAAGGCTCTCTATTATGAATGTATTGGTTTTATTCAACTGATGAGAATGTTACAGTTAAAAGTTTATCTTTTGGGAGTGTTAAAAATGTCAATATAAGTGAAATAGTCTAAATGAGGCGGATCCCTCACACAAAAGAATCTAGGCTGAGATCAGATTAAATTACGGTAAATTCCCATCACAGACACATCAGCACCTAGACACTGGGCTTAAAGCTAGGCTTCTGATAGGTTTAATTAACAGTCTATAACACGCATTCTATTAAATCGTAAAAACAGAAATAGAATTCTTTTTATTAAAGTAGCTAAGTAATGAGCTTTAGTATCTTGATTATGTTTACAAAACTTTTATTAGAACAAGACTTAGAGAAATAGAAACACCCAGATACAATGTGGCACCTTTTTCCTTGTTAACAATCGCTGCCTATGCTATTAACTTTGGGTTGATTTGAGTAGAATGTTTAAAATCAAACCTTAAAGAATTTCAGAGCTGGAAGGGACACTGAGGCTGTTAATCTACTTAGTCATTTTTTACGCATACTGCTCATAAATAATCAGAGGCTCAAAGATATTATGTGGTATCCTAAGGTCCTAGAGCTGGGACTAGAACACAGGCCCCAGAGTACTAGTTCTAATCTTTTATTACTATACCATGCCCACAAACACACGTCCCCCTCCCCCCGATATACATACAGATGTACATACATATACATATATATTTTGACTGTAGTTAGTGCAGGTTCTCAAGCTGGACTACCTGAATTCAAGTCAGAGCTCTGGTACTTACTAGCTTTTTGACTTTGGACAAGTTATTTATCTGTGCTTCTATTTCCTCAGCTGCTATACAAGCATAATAATAGTTTCTATCTCTTGGGGATGGAGTAAAGATTGAGTACCCAGGACAGAGGCTGGCTCAATAATATTAACTTTCTTTCCTTAGTTAACAGTTGATCCTTTAACTCAACCTGAATTTCTTAATCTAAAAGCAAAAACCGTGACTTAGTATCTAGTCAGTTTTCCCTGGAACACTCATAATGGCACTCCACATCTGCTAGGGGCTTACCTTTGCAGTAGGAGATTCTATTGCTTGCAAACTACTAACACCAAAGGTATTAATTGCCTAACTAGTACTAATTAGCAATCTGGACACTAAAAGTTATTCCTCTAGCCTTCCCTTTCATAAGCAGAAAAAAAACCTGAAGTGAATGAACACATTTACTAGAATGAAGCATGAGATTTTTTTCTAATCAGTAGGGAGTAATTGTTCCCTCTCCTCATGATCAATAATCATTGTGAATACTGTATACTATGTGAATAAATTTACATTGTCTTGTTTCCATGGCAATCATCATGCATAGAACGAAATATCTCGGTTCTTTGAGACAGAGCATTTTTATTTTAAAGAAATCATACTCCCTTTTCAACAAGAAATCAAAACTTAACCAAGCAACATTTTTGAAAAAACAGAATACAATAAGGATTTTCAATAACAAATGTCTAATAATTTCTTACTCTGAGCAAGGCATCCTCCATTAATTGCTTACGTGTTCTAGTTAATTTTCTTTCCAGGTTAACCCACCGATGGAGTAAAAGTGCGTAGGATGAGAAAGCTGCTATAGAGGATATAGGAATTCGGGCACTGATTTCAAGGAGGGCACAATTTTACACACACATCCCTTACCAACCACAAATCTTCACTCTAGTATCTCTAGATCATTCAACCTAAAAATACAAATTTAAAACTGCATGTGTACAGCATAATAAATAGAAAAAGGACTAGAATAGATGTCAGGAAAGCTTCTTGCTCATCTTGATTCTGGCACAAAGTAACAGTATGACCTAGGGCGGGTCATTTAACCTTCTGGGACTCTAGGGCAGATCATTTAACTTTCTGGGACTCTGGATCAACCACTATAAAATAAGGTGGCAGGGTTAAATAGTCGTCTTGCTCTAAGAGTCCATACTTCTATGGGATATACTCAAAATGGGAATTATCATCTCATTCTTTTCCTTTAAAAATCAAGTTGGAAAAATAAGGGGCATCAAACTGACTTATCAAGGAATATGGACACCTACTAATTGATGGATAAGTGGTAGAATAAAGAGAGCTGACTGGCTAGAATACACGACCCAAAGTATCACTTTCTGATAAAATCACAGTCTTTGCACCACTATCTGACAGAGAAAACAAACAAAGTTACAACTTCTTTGAATTAACTTATCTTTAAAAATCACAATTGCTTTTTGTGGTAATTCTTTCTGCTGGGAATGCCACATTCCCCTCCCCCTTTCTTCCCCCATTCCATCTCTGAATGCCAAAATCTACTATATCTCCCAGCAAATAGAAAGCTCCAGCGATAACTTCACAAAGACTCCTCTGATTTCCCAGCTATTAACAAGCGCTCTCTCTTCAGAACTTCAATAATACTTTCTATCTATTCATATGTTCCTTATCTCTTTCTATGCTACACTATACTTATTTCTTCCCAAGTAACACTCCCATACTAGATGATAAGCCTCATCTAATTCAGCTTTGGATTCTCCAGAAAACAGAGTATAGTGCCTTACACAAAAACAAATATTTAATAACTAGTGGAAAAAATAGTTATAAACTCTTAACTCAAGAAGTTTTAAATCTCTATGTTCTTAAAGTACAAAAAAAGTTGTTTTCATTTTAGTTAAATTAGTTAACTTAAAGTAGTTAAAATGTAAAAAGCTTGTTTTGGTTTTTGTAAAAAGCTTTTTTTCTTTTGTCTCTTTCTCAGTTCCTACAGGCCAAAGAAGCTCTGAGCTACCAGGGCTTAAGAAAGTAATTGCTGGAGCTGTTATTCTATGTACAAAATAAAAACAAAAGATAAAGTAATAATAATTATCTCTAGGAATATATTTCAATCAGATGAAATAACTTATCCAGAAAATTAAATGGATAACCCTCTCCTGTTAGATACTTTGAAAATTATAAAGGGTGATTTAAAACTACCAATAGTTTTCCAATGGCTATAGTCAAAGCATCTTTTATCAAAAGTGTTAGCTAATTCTGGAGCCATGATAAGGTTTAAAACTTTGATAATGAGATCAGGGAAGAGGTTTCACTTAATCTCCTGGTTATGCAAATTAATGACTGTATTTCTGTTTCCTAATCTATAAAATTGAGATAATTGCATACCTTATCACTTATTCATTCACACAAGGTGTTTAAAGATATTCATGTGGTGAGCTGCTTAGACAGCTAAAACAAAGTTCCTCAGGAAACATTTCTACTATTTAATTTCTAACTAAACTTGTGCTTTAAAAACAAAATTTTAAACTCCATTCACAAATACCTGGATGGGCTGCATAGTCGTTTATACTATTTAGAAAAATCTTGTATAAGAAAGGAGAATCATGTGGTGCTGAAATTATATTTGTTATATATTTACAAATATTATCTCTTTAAATAAACTCCAAGAGTTCCCAGTTTAAAATATTTATCATCTTTCAGATCAAAATTATCCACAGAGATATTAATTTTTCCTACATTAGCTAAGGTGGATGATTTACTAAATTCCCAAAGGAATTACAATTATAATTTAAAAAATAATATCCCAGTAGACACCAAGATCACTGCCACAAAGGGGAAAAAAAACTTGCCTTATTTTCACTGTAGTTAATGTCTACAAATTTTCGTTAAGTGGTACTTTTTTAAAAGTTTTACACCTTTATCTAGCAGGGGTAGTATAAAATTTCACAAAGAATAAACTTCTTAATTTGAGGAATCCCAGAAGAGACTGTCAGTATAAGCGGTCTGACTTGGTTTTCAAATAATAGGTGAAATCTGATCTCTCTTGTGACCAGTTCAAGTTCATCTAGGAGCCCACTTACACTTATTTGTTGATACTGGATACTGCTGGATTATACCAAATTAAAACAAGAATAATTTTTATAAACTATACAATCAACTGGGATACACAGGTTTTGAAGATGATAGAGACAGAAGAAATTTTCATGGATCTCAATTATATTTAACCTATCCCTTGCAATTTAAATTCTTTTTATAAAAAAAATAGTGGCACTCATAGCAGCTAAAACTAAGTTCCTTAGGCAACACTATTATTAAATTTCTAATCAAACTTGTGACTTAACAACAAAATTTTAAACTCCATTCTGAAGCTAAAATCATCAGTACCTGAGAAGTGAACATGTTTTCAACATATTTCATTAAAAGTATTTCTCAACTGACTAATTTAGTGTGTCCCTTTTTAAATAAAAACTCATAAAATAAATACTTACATGAAGCATTCGAGTATTTAACGAATAAGTTATTTGCTTACCCAAATTATTTTAAAAATTCTACTTACAAAGTGAAAATTTTAATCTCTACTTTTAAGTATATTTTTAATAAATGTACATATATGCAAAGGATTCTATCTCCCACTTTTGATATATTCAACTAATATCAACATGCAGTACTTAGCTTTGCTTTACAGACTTCTAAATCAGGAATAAAATCATATAAACAAAAGGACTACAGAAAAAGCTCTTTAACTGTAAGGGTCATGACATTCATATTGCACCTGCAACTGTTAGCGTAATGCTGGCACCCTAATCACTCAGAAAAAAGTAGCTGAATTGACTATTCATTGGTAAAGCAAAAAAAAAACTTTCTTGGAATTTTAAATACTTCTAATAAAAAACAGAACAGAGAGAAAGAAAAAATATATTGCCAAATATTGTTATTGAACGTAGACATTTGCAAATAATCATTGAAATTAAAGTTTTGCTCAAAGAATTTATTACTTTCCAGGGCACCAAACGATATAATTTTGTTCTACTTGTCCCTTGACACAACGAAAGTTAACTTTTCTTAATTATCCTAAGAAAGACCAGTCTGGGGATTCAACCAACTGCAATGTAATGAACTAATACAACACTTCCAGACTGAGGTGCAGAGCTGAACATCAGTTTGAAATATGAAAACAGCATATGTGATATGCACATGTTTTGTCAAAAGTAATGAATGCAGTGCTTAACTGGGAACTTAATATGACTCTCAGTTTCTAATAACTCATCTAAAGCCAAAGCTACACTTGTAATACAGCAAAACTCTGAAAAAAGTGTAATAGGAGTAAAAGAAGAACTATAAAGGTTATTCACTGATATACTTACAGATCCACAGAGAAATAAAATTGGAACTCTAATTCCAAACTTTTCTCCTAAGATATTCACGGCAGACAATAGCTGGAATGCTTGCGGACCAAAGTCCTGGGCCGCATCATCTGAGTCATCAATGGAAAAGCAATGATCCAATCTAAATAAAAATAATATGTTAGAAAGCTTAGCCAAGGCCTGTACCTTTAAAAATAACAAGATTCAGGGCCGGCCCCGTGGCTTAGCGGTTGGGTGCGCAGGCTCCGCTGCTGGCGGCTCGGGTTCGGATCCCGGGCGCACACTGACGCACTGCTTCCCCGGCCATGCTGAGGCCGTGTCCCACATACAGCAGCTAGAAGGATGTGCAACTATGACATACAACTATCTACTAGGGCTTTCGAGGGGAAAAAAAAAAAAGGAGGAGGATTGGCAATAGATGTTGGCTCAGAGCCCGTCTTCCTCAGCAAAAAGAGGAGGATTAGCATGGATGTTAGCTCAGGGCTGATCTTCCTCACAAAAAAAAAAAAATAATTAAATGAAAATAACAAGATTCAGTGTAATAATTAGTCAAGTTAAAAAATATCTTAAATGTGCCAACTGCTTCAGAAGCTACAAATAAAGTTCCTTACAGCCAAGAGCATGTGAAGTATGTAAAACATGAAATATAAACCATAATATAGCATCAGAGGTATGTTATGTTGATAGTTCTCAACTCTAGTGGCCTAGAACCCAAATTTTACGGGAGGTACCTTAGTTTAAACTCTAATGACTGTAAAATACGATGCAAAGATTATAAACTTTTCATTTAAGTCTATTTAGATGTTAAATTTCTAAGCCATCCTTCAGGTAGATTTAAAATTATCATTAACACAAGTAAGAATTTTTTAAAGCAGGATAAGAACAAAAGGACTCCTTAGAGAAAATCAACCAATAGAGGTCAACTACCTAATTCAATTGCTTTCTTCATAATAAATACCTTTGAAATAGTAATAAGAATATATTCAGTATTCCAGATAGAATTATATGTTTGTAGATAAAAGGACTGTCTAGGTTTACTCTCCTAGTCTAACCTCTTTAGTACAATACTTAGCTCATTAATTTTCTTTTCTAATACAGTATTTAAAGCTATCAAATTCCCCTACCTAGGCTGCATCTTTTTTTTTTTTTCTTGTAAGAAAGATCAGCCCTGTGCTAACATCTGCCAATCCTCTTCTTTTTCTGCTGAGGAAGACTGGCCCTAGGCTAGCATCTGTGCCCATCTTCCTCCACTTTATATGGGATGCCGCCACAGCATGGCTTGACAAGCGGTGCATTGGTGCGTGCCCGGGATCCGAACCAGCAAACCCCAGGCCGCCGCAGTGGGACATTCGCACTTAACCGCTTGCGCCACCAGGCCGGCCCCCTATGCTGCATCTTACAAGATTTAATGTATATTATTCTAATTGTCACTAAGCTCTAAAAATGTTTTAATTTCCAGTTTGATTTTTTCTTCAATTGATGAGTTATTTAAAAGTGTTGTTTTTAATTTCCAAATGAATGAGAATTTTTTTGTTTCTCCTCATATTTATTTCTAATTCCACTGCATTCTGGTCAGAAAACATGGTGTGTTTGATACCAACACATTGAAACCTTTTGAAACACGCTACGGTCTGGTACAGGGGTCAGAAAACTTTTATAAAGGGCCAGATAGTTAATAGTTTACGATTTATGGGCCATATGGCCTCTGTGTCACAACTACTCAGCTCAACTCTGCAAAAACAGCCAGAGACAATACATAAACTAAAGGGCGTGGCTGTGTTCCGAGAAAACCATTAAGAAAAACAGGCAGAAAGTGGATATGGTTCACTGGCCATAGTTTGCCAACCACTGCTCTAATACGTAGTCAATTTTTATAAATATTCCATGTATGTTTGAGAAGTGGTCTCTAATTCAGTGCTTCTTAACCAGTGTGCTGCAAATGGATTATAGGTGTGCTGAAAGGTCAATCACTTCAGACTGAGGTTTCTGGACAGAACCTAGACTCAATTAGCCAAGTGTGCTATACAAGTATTATCATTAGCTATGTGGGTCATGAAGTAAAAGTGTTTGAGGTGCACTGCTCTAATTGCTTGGCACAGGGTTCTATACACTACATGTCTGATAAATCAAACTTGTTACCATACTGACCAAATTTTCTATAGCTTACTAAGTTTTTGATTGTTTAACCTACCAATAACCCAAAATTATACAAAACTCTTCGACCTTCTACTTTGATGATGGATTTGTTGATTTCTTCCAGCTGTTCTGTCAATATGTGCTTTATATATTCGCAGGGTTTTGTTCTGTTTTTTAAGGTGCAGAAAACAATTCTGTCCTCTTCGTGAAGGATCCAGTTTTCACTGCCATCACTGAAGAGAACATCTTCATCCCTAATAATACTTCCTTGGTCTAACAGCTACCACACCTAGGTATACAGTTACCTCAACTAGGTATACCATTGGTTTTTATTTTTTCAACTAATATACAGTTACATTATGTGTCTGTGTATGTGTGTGTAAAGTTCTACAAATTTAAACACACCCATAGATTCATATGCACAGATTCATCTAACCATAATCAGTTTCCACCACCACAATCACAACACACAACAAATCCATCATTGCAAAATACTCCCTAGTGCTATTCCTTTGTAATCATACCCTCCCCCTCTCGCTAACCTCTGGCAACCACTGATCTTTTCTGCATCCCTATAGTATAGTCTCATGCTTGAAAGAGACTATCATATAAATGGAATCATACTGTAGAACTGGCATTATTTTTCTATTAAATGTTTGGCAGAATCTGCCATTGAAACCATTTGGGCTAGAGAATTTTATTTTCAGAGGTTTTTTAACAAGGATCCAATCTCTTTAACAGTTGTAGGACTATTCAGGTTATCTATTTCATTGTCAGTGAGTTTTGTTAGTTTGAGGTTATCAAGGAATTGGTCCATTTCATCTAAATTATTGAATGCACCTACACTGAGTTATTCATAGTGTTTCCTTATTATCCTTTTAATGTCTGAAGGGCCTGTAGTGAAATTCCTCTTTCATTCCTGATATTGGTAATCTGTGGCTTCTCTCTTCTTTTTCTTGTTAGAAGTTTCTATCAATTTTATTGACCTTTTCAAAGAATGAGCTTTTGAGTTCACTGGTTTTCTTTATTGTTTTTCTGTTTTCTGTTTCACTGATTTATGCTCTTATCTTTATTATTTCCTTCCTTCTGCTTCCTTTAGTTTACTTTGCTCCTATTTGCTTCTTAAGTTAGAAGCTTAATTACTGATTTGAAACCTTTCTTCTAAGTATTTAATGCTTTATATTTCCCTCTCAGTATTGTTTTATTTTTTTTAAACAGAATTTTTTTTTTTTTTTTTTTTTTTTGTGAGGAGATCAGCCCTGTGCTAACATCTGCCAATCCTCCTCTTTTTTTGCTGAGGAAGACTGGCCCTGGGCTAACATCCGTGCCCAACTTCCTCCACTTTATATGGGACACCGCCACAGCATGGCTTGCCAAGCAGCGCGTCGGTGCGCGCCTGGGATCCGAACTGGTGAACCCCTGACCACCGCAGCAGAGCGCGCACACTTAACTGCTTGCCCCACTGGCTGGCCCCCTCAGTATTGTTTTAGCTGCATCGCATACACCTTGTATTTTCATTTCATTCAGTTCAAAATATTTTCTGATTTACCTTGAGACTTCCTCTTTGACTCATGGATTATTTAGTAGCGTGTTATTTAATTTCCAAGTGTTGGGAGACGTTCCTGTTATCTTTCTGTTATTGATTTCTAGTTTAATTCCATTATAGTCAGAAATCATACTTTGTATGAATACAATTCTTTTAAATTTGTTAAGCTTTGTTATATGACCCAGATTATGGTCTATATTTGTGAACGTTCCTTCTGCACCTAAGAAGGATACATATTCTGCTATTGTTGTGTTCTATAAAAGTCAATTAGATCCAGGTTGTTGATAGTCCTGCTCATTTCTTCTATTTTCTTCCTGATTTTCTGTCTACTAGTTCTATTAACTACTGAGAGAGGTTGTTGAAATCACCAAGTATAATTGTGGATTTCTCTATTTCTCCTTTCAATTCTCAGTTCTTTTGTTAAGTATATACACACTTAGGATTATGTGTTCTTGGATGTGATGGTTAACTTTATGCGTCAACTAGGCTAGGTTATGGTGCCCAGTTGTTTGGTCAAACACTAATCTAGATGTTGTTATAAAAGTATTTTGTAGATGGGATTAACATTTACAATCAGTTGACTTTAAGTAAAGGAGATCACCCTTCATATTGTGAGTGGGTCTCATTCAATCAGATGAAGGCCTTAAAGAGCAAAGACTGAGGTTTGCTGGAGAACAAGGAATTGTGACTCAAGATTATTAACACAGAAATCCTGCCCAACTTTCCAGCCTGCCAGCCTGCCCTACAGATTTCAGACTTGCCAACTCCCACAACTGCATAAGCCAATTCCTTAAAATCAATCCCTTTCTCTATCTGTGTGTGTGTGAATATATATGTGTATGTGCGTTTCTCTAGAGAATCCTGACTGATACATTGGTAAACCAACATTTTTATCATCATGTAACATCCTTCTTTATCCCTGGTAATATTCTTTCTCCAAAGTCTCCATTGTCTGATATTAAAATACCAACTCCCAGGCCGGCCTGGTGGCACAAGCAGTTAAGTGCGCATGCTCTGCTGTGGCGGCCCAGGGTTCACTGGTTCGGATCCTGGGCCCGCACCAACGCACCGCTTGTCAAGCCATGCTGTGGCGGCATCCCATATAAAGTACAGGAATATGGGCATGGATGTGAGCCAAGGGCCAGTCTTCCTCAGCAAAAAGAGGAGGATTGGCAGATGTTAGCTCAGGGCCAATCTTCCTCACAAAAAAAATAAATAAATAAAATAAAATAAAATAACAACTCCATCCTTCTTTTGATTAGTGTTTTCATGGTATATAGTTTTTATCCTTTTATTTTTACTCTACTTATATAATTATATCTGTAGCGGATTTTTATGGACAACATATAGTTGGGTCATATTTTTAAACCAATTCTCACAATACCTGCCTTTAAATGGTGTTTTTAGAGTATTTACATTTAATGTAACTATTGATATGTTAAATTTAGGTCTAACATTTTATTGGTTTATCTATTTATAAAGCAAAATACTCTAATATTGTTTGCTTTGTCTTCTATTTAAATAAATACATTCATTACTTTGTTTTAAAAAACTGCTGTACATATCTCTCAAAAAAAATTCAATTAAAAATGATGTGAAAAAGAAGAGAAACAAAAACTTTTAGAATGTCCATCTAGAAGGAGAAATCTTTACCTGGACCTGCAATTATCACAGCATTTTTCAGTTCCCATAATACCCAAGGAGGCCTTTCGCAGTTGTTTGTCTTCAAAATGAGACAAGATGATTCTACCCAAGAGAAAATGTAAAATTAAATAAAAGAACAAAAACGTATACGTTAAATTCATTGCTGAAAATAATGAAGTGAAATTATCATTAATTGATTCGCCTGGGACCTCATTATTTGGCTTTAGTTTACCAAGGCATAAAGAAAGCTGCCTAAAAAATTCAGCACATATGTAACACCAACAAAATATTGTTTCTAAATACTAATTATTTTGCAAAACTTTCTTCTTAAAAGAGCACCATCCATAAATCTATGTTATTAATTGATATAAAATAAACAATACATACTGTCGCCTACACTTGCTGGAATGAAGATATTTTTCCATCTTTGCCATCATCTTTAATTTGTATAATCGAAACTCTTCATCACGTATCTCACTAAGGAGGTACCTGTCAATTAAAAATATCACGGAATGTGTAAATTTGCATTAGCGATTTTGTTAATTTATTACTGTTTATTTTTCATAACCTATAACATCTACACCCCTATCAAGATAAAGAACAAGTCTATCATCCCAGAAAGTTATTGTGTCCCTTCCTATTCAATGCCCCCAACAAGAGGCAAGCATTTTTCTGATTTTTATGAAAATTACTTTCGAAAGAATTCTACCTATGTTCAAGCATCAGTTTTTTAGCTGCCTTTGAAAAATTATTATAAACTCTATAAAGTCTTTCATTTTGATTTACATACTACATGTTTTTTGGCAATCTTTCTACCATATATGAATTTTTACTTTTTCCCAGTAAAAGGTTATTCTTTATTTTATGTTATATGAAAAACTAAAAGCATCTATGTAAGAAATACTAAAAGAGGCTCATGATCCAAATATGAGCCTTCATCCCTGTTAGCTCTTCAAGCCCTCTAAAATCTCTCTCTTTGTATTACAGGGTATTATGGGACACCACTAAAGTATCAGAATTAAGTTACTTCCCCAAACAATAACTAATTTTTTTCTACAATATTGAATTCATTTAAAATTGTTCAACTCTAAAGATGTTTGTTTTTTCAAAAGTTAATGCTGCTCTAATTCATCCTTTTTTTTTTTTTAATAATTTTATTTATTTATTTATTTATTTCCCCCAAAGCCCCAGTAGATAGTTGTATGTCACAGCTGCACACCCTTCTAGTTGCTGTATGTGGGATGTGGCCTCAGCATGGCCGGAGAAACGGTGCATCGGTGCGTGCCCGGGATCTGAACCCGGGCCGCCAGTGGAGCGTGAGTACTTAACCGCTAAGCCACAGGGCTGGCCCCTGACTTTGTTAATTCCACTCTTCTGTGAAGAAATTCCATGATTATCAGATATCAGATAATGACAACCTCCCAAATAGCTTTGTATGTCTTTTCAAACATTCTTTCCAGGAATAAATAAAAGTCTGAGTTGAATAAATTTCAGATATTTCAAAAGAAAACAATGATTACCTACAAGATCTAAGCGATAGTCCTCACCCTCATCAAAATGGACCCCACTCACTAATATTTTGACCATCCAACATTCTGACTGATAAAAATACCACTGTATAGTCCTCAAGGATGACACCAACAGGAAATCCAGTTAAGTGAGTTCTGGGCAGTCTAAACACACAAATGATCTCTTATTCAAAAACATTCTTGTCATTTGACATCACCAACCACCACACCCTTCCGTGCAGTTTCCATAAAAGTTTCTTCCAACTGTTGACTCTAGTTCCTAGGTTAACTATCTCATTCTTCCTAGCTCACGGGCTAAAAATTGCTCCTTTTTTGCTTTATTTTGTTTGTTTGTTTAGCTCACCTCCTCCTCAGATAGAAAGAACAAAGAAAACAAACACCTACACTCTTAAAACTAGATCCTCCCTTATATCTGGTTCAGATGACCTACATTTAACTAATCTTATCAGTGTCAGTAACAAATCTGAGAAAATAAAATTACAAGTCTCTAACAGCAAATCAAATGAATATTTATTCTTCTTTTGGGACTATTAAAATAGTTAAAGTACAATATTCTACAGAATAAAAACAAGTTGAAAAAGAAAAAAAACTCTAAAAACAATACCATAAACAGAGATCAGTTGGAGCGAGTGGAAGACTTATTAAATTGAGATTAATTTGCAAATTATTCACTTAAAAAAAGATTATAGTAACTATTGGGTTTGATTCTTTAGAATAATAGCAAATGCTGGGGCCGGCCCGGTGGCGCAAGTCGTCAAGTGCGTGAGCTCCGCTGCGGCGGCGCGGGGTTCGCTGGTTCAGATCCCGGGCGTGCAACCGATGCACTGCTTGGCAGGGCATGCAGTGGCCACGTCCCATATAAAGTGGAGGAAGATGGGCACGGATGTTAGCCCAGGGCCAGTCTTCTTCAGCAAAAAAGGAGGAGGATTGGCAGATGTTAGCACAGGGCTGATCTCCTCACAAAAAAAAAAAAAAAGAAAAAGAAAAAGAATAATAGCAAATGCAGACTTTGAAACTTTGCCAATGGTATGGCTTCTGCAATAAGAAACATAAAGTTACATATTTACACTGATGACTGAATAAGTTTCTTCTCTCAGCCATAGGCTTCTAGCATAGGATAGACTCAAAATTTTATGAATTACAGCGACCTTTTCAGTTGAGAACCAGCAACTCCATTTATTCTAAAACTTTCTTTTTTCTAATAAAAGAGGTTTATCACTAGGATGACACAGATCTGTCCTCAATCCTTGCCAAATTCTTTTTTATTCTGATTAACCCTATAGTTTTATTTCCCTTAGGATGGATGCAAAGAACAACCTGTCTATACTACAGATTCAAGTTTTTAAAGATTCATGGGTTTTCTGGCACCACTATTTGATTACTAACCACTGTTTCTTCCTATTAAATCTTAATGAGATAATCATTAAAAATATCGTTTGAGACCCAGATAAACAGGAACTATATCTATTGATGAACCTGCAAAGCCACACTATAAAATTCAAGCTGTTAAGTCTTCAGCACTTTTAGCATAAAACACAAATAAAATCAGAACTCGTAGGAATCAACTTATGTTTGATACAATCCCAAACTTAATAGTAGCATGCAGACCTATGATCTATCCCAATTACTTTAGTTTATTAAAAGCTTTACACAGACACCAGTGTCAAAAGGAAAACAATAATTGTTCTGTTTAAGAGGATGGTTTTATTAAGCTACTGACTACTCTTAAAAGGAAGAGTTTAAAATTTATAGCAAACATTTTTACCGAATTAATCCCTATTCTTCTTCAGACTCAGCTTACCCTATCACTTCCTGAAGGAAGCCTTACCTGACCTTTTTAACTTGGCAAACACAAACCCCATTATACACTCACTACTCAATACAACTTTCCTTCATAACACTTAACACAGTTATAATTTTACACATATTTCCATGATCCTTTTTAAAAAAAATTTTATTACTGAAATTTTTAAACACAAAAAGAGAACAGTAAAGTGAACCCTATGTATCCATGGTTGTGTGATTCTGTGATCTGCCGTTCCCACTATACTGTAAGCTCTACGAAAACAGATACCACAACTGCTTTTATTAATCATCGTAGCCCCAGCACAGAGCATAATGCTGGGAACACAGTGGGCACTCAAAAAAACACTTGAATATGAATAAAAATAAAAACTGTATTGGATAGGCATTCTCACCATTCTAATAAAATGGGCTAATATGTCCATTCGAGAGCTCAATTTATTCAGCCATATGGAGGTGCATTTTGGCACGCCTACCAGTTACTACACATGTTTTTTTCCTGAGTCTTTCTTCCCACTATGGATGAGGGAATCTGTTGCTAAACTCTGTCCCTACAATTTTTGCAAGATGAAGTTTTCCTTTCCAACTACATCTCACAGAACTTAAGTGCCAATAAAATATTTGTTTAGTACTTAAGAAGAATGGTTTTCCTCTACTTAAACACTAAACACTTAATATTTTTTTCATGGCAATCAGTACAGTGCAACATGATTATTCACACACAGTCAAGGAGAAGTGGCATGCTCTCATAGAACAAAGAAAACAAATGGTAAAGAGAGCCAAACAGGGATTGGTAGAAATCACTTGGAATAAGCATCATTGCAGCATGGGAAGAAAGAACCAATAACAAAATAAATGGTATCTGAAGTAACTATGGCTGAACACATAGCAAAACTTAAGAGGAACTGAGGAGAAAAAAACAGCTCATCAATGCACAATATTTTGGAACGTATTCCATTGGATCTATGTTACTTTCCCAGTATAGTCTTGATTTAGTGAATTCTTCATATTAAATGAGGACTGGCTGAAATTATGTCATCCCTTCTGGGTGGCAACACTTACCACAAATATTATTCTTAAATGTCTTCTGGTTTTTTTCGGTTTTAAATGCACTTTTTTACTTGAAATTTCAGATGCTGCCTGAAATACTTTCAAATCTTATATGGAAAGAAAGAAATCTGCAAGGGTGAAAGTAATAAATGTTTTTACCTATTTACGTTCAAGTCTACTGGAGACCACAGCAGATGACAAGAACTTGGAAGTCCATCACGGCCAGCTCTACCAATCTCCTGGTAATATGATTCCATTTCCTTAGGAGCACCATAATGAATGACTTTGCGAATGTCAGCTTTATTAATGCCCATTCCAAAAGCTATGGTAGCTATGACACACTGAGAATAGATAACAACAGAGATTGACAAACATTTAGCAGAACTAAAACCCTACATGTTCACCTTTTGGTAAGAATAATTAATTCATTAACTAAAGTCCTTGGCATGAAACTTAATTTAATTAATTTAAATCAATCACTTATAAATTAAAAGATTATCTGCCCAACTTACAAATAAAGGATTGGTGATCATAAAATAGGATTTCTGTTCCCTCTCTATAAAAAGTAACAAAGTGGAGATGCCAGCCCAGTGGCATAGCGGTTAAGTGCATGCACTCCGCTTCCGCAGCCCAGGGTCTGCAGGTTCGGATCCCGGGCGCGCACCAACGCACTGCTTGGCAGGCCATGCTGTGGCGGCATCCCACATAAAGTAGAGGAAGATGGGCAGGGATGTTAGCCCAGGGCTGGTCTTGCTCAGCAAAAAGAATAGGATTGGCGTCAGATGTTAGCTCAGGGCTGATCTTCCTCACAAAAAAAAAAAAAAAAGAAAAAAAAGTAACAAAGTGGTTTCTCTGAATACCTATGAGTAGAAGACACAAAAGAGACTCTTAAAATGTTTATTATATTAAATGATACTTTTGCCTTATTATGAAGTTTCAAGAGCCCTTACTTGATTGCACAGTATCTTAATATTTTCTGGCATTATTCTAAGTGGAAGGAAGCTTTTCATTAAAGATGGTGAAATGAAACATGAATAATCTCTTCATCTTTAAAAGGATAAAATGGGTAGACTATTTAATACGTATGAGTATACTGGCATGAGATTTACATGATTGGGGGAAATTTTATAGCAGAATTAGCGATAAAAAACACACAAAACTAAACAAAAAATTTTAAAAGTATGAACAATAACAATACAATAAGATATGCAAGAAAAGTAACTATAATATACCACATGGCTTGGAGATAAAAAGCATTTACAGGGGCCAGCTTGGTGGCACAGCAGTTAAGTTCTCACGTTCCGCTTTGGCGGCCCACGGCTCACAGGTTCGGATCCCAGGCACAGACCGACACACCACTTGTCACGCCATGCTGTGGCGGCGTCCCATATAAAGTAGAGGAAGATGGGCATGGATGTTAGCCCAGGGCCAATCTTCCTCAGCAAAAAGAAAAAAAAAAAAGGCATTTACAGAGAAATAATTATGTAAATACATAATATTTGAATATATATATATTGACCTAATCAAAATTACAATGTTAATATTAGGAGGAAAGGGGGTTAGCAATATTTTCACATGGATGGAGTGATAAGTAGGGCAGGAAGTGATGTAAAAGAGAGCTAACCGTTCATCTTTCATAGTGGGGAGTCGAAAGATAAGGCCTAAAACTAATAAACAAATAAATAACAAACTACGCAGTAGCAGTATGAGCAAATTATTGCCAGATATAGTGGTAAACACCAAAAGAATAAACTAAAAGAGTTGGGAGTGGGAAACAGAAGTGGGGAAGGTATGAGGGACTGATGCTTTTCATTGTAAGCACTGTAGAACTATTTGGTTCCTTAAACTGTGTGCATGTATAACTGCTAAAAATTAAAATGCCATTACAAATAAAATGTGTTAAGATGGAACAAGAAAAGCAGAAAAAAAAAAAAAAGGACGAAAGAAAGAAAATGCTAAACAAACAAAAGGAAGTAAGACAAAGGTAACAGAAAAACAAATACAGGAATGGAAATAATATTAAGAAAAAGCTTTGAGTGAATAAAGCTAGCAATTTTGCTAAATTTAAGAGCGAAGAAGGAAAATAATAATAATTCTACTTCTCTTTTTCTAATGTTATTTCTTACGCAACTTTTTCCAGCTTTATTGATATACAATTGACATATTATATAAGTTTAAGATATACAATGTGATTATATATATACATATATTGCAAAATGATTACCACAATGAGGTTAGTTAACTCATCCATCACCTCACATAGTCACCATTTGTGTGTGAGTGGTGAGAACTTTTAAGATCTAATTTTCATCATATGATACTGTTTTTAGATGAGATCAACCTATTCTACAAATACGATTTTCAAAATATCCTATAAACTCTCAGATGTAAATAAAGATACTTTATCAAATAATTTATTCACAACCTCATTCCAGAAAGGAAAGACATTCAAGCCATCTTGAAAAAGCAAATAAAACACAAAAAGACATAAAACTAAAAGTCAGAAGTAAAAGTAAGAATGAATGGTCACAGACTAAAAACGCAAATCTACATCTAAATCTGGGTAGATTTGCTTATGAATAATAGAAAAGAAAAAAATGTTTTTCTAAAATTGTAAAATAGAAAATACTAAGACTCTGAGCATCACTCAATCCAAGACATTAAGAGCTAAGGAGGTCAGCTCTACTGTGAGACCCAGACTAACGGATAAATCAAGTGTAAAAAGACAGGAGAGTGAATATCTAGAATTCTGTAAATATATGCATTCAGTAGGCACTCAATAAATACTCCATGGCAAGTAAACAATTCCAAGAGCACCAGACTATTCTACATAGATGAGGAAATGTATTTTCATCATCTTGAGAAGGTGTTGGAGAACTCGCAATGCAAATATGAAGCTTCTGAAGTATTTATAATGGCAAAGGAACACATTGGGTCAGCTGTCAGATAAGCAGAACCCCCGAAGTCAGCCTAGGGTGACACAATCAATATTAACATCTATTTTCATAATGTGGATAAAAATTTGTGACATCCTGCCACATAAAGGGAAAATACAGCAGCACATACATATATATAGCCTTCTAGATATTAGGTGTAATTGGTGATCATTGTGAGGTTTTTCAAGCCATATTTCAAAGCATTAATGTTTCAATGAAGCTGTGTGTTGGGAGGAAATCAGATGCATCCAACAAAGTCTCCCATCACAACGTAACACAGATAAAGTTTGTACTCTCTCATGTCTTTGGGACATGTTTCTATCTAAATGAATAATTAGCAATACATCAAGTGACACATCAAGACCAAGAAACCATTGGTCAGTTAATGGCTCAAATATCGCTTGTTAAGATTCAGTAAGCAGCAGCTAATAAATTTTGTCTGGTAATTTTCAAGCTCTTGAGATAACAGAATAAAAAGGTAAGCATTTAAGAATCTGGGTAAAATCTCTATTCTAGGCAGCTGTAACATCTGTTCCCATCTTTAGAAAGAAGAGGAAGAAAGAGAATAGATGCTTTCAGGCAGGTATGCATTGCAGCATGACAATGCAGAGTGAACTTCATAGACAGTTCATAGGAACCATACTTGAGGTAAGTTGTTTGAATAAGGCTGGTTTGGGGTGGTTAACAACTATACAATAGGAAGCACTGGAGAGAGAGGAAACGGATAACCAATTGGACAGAAAATACAGAGCAGAAGTTAAGTTCATCTCTTAACTTGAGAGGAGGGCTATCCAAAGGCTTGACAGTATGGATATGCTGACAGTGGGAAGTGGTTGATTTACACCTACTAAAGTAGCTTGAATTTAAATCTTTCCAAATATTCTGTATGACACCTACTGAGCCAGGATTCCAATCATTACAGATTGAAATTATTACATGATTCCAAACATTACAGGAATCTCAGCTATAGCACTTTACAGTAACTCCATCGATACCCTTCCTTTCTTTAGTTTTTCTCCTTCAAATCAATCCTACACAGTACTGCTAATCTAATGTTTCTATAATACTATTATCTTGCTCAAAAACACAGCACAATCTGTCATAATGGTTTTCAAACTCTATTCTGTGTAGCTCTGAGGATAAGACACCCACAGATACTGTCTTGAAGATAAGGAGGCTCTTGGACCCCTTTCTCCCTCCAATCAACTTCAACAAGAATTATTCCACTTTAATCTGTTTTATCCATTAGGTAAAATCTCATTTAAATAAAAAATTCTAAGGCTCAAGTAGTCTGGAAAAACTACTACCATCCCCATTACACAGCCTACCTTAACAGCTAGCATTCCATCCTCTGTGCCCCTAAGCACTAAGTACAGGCTGCTATTTGTACTAGTCTACAATAGTTTGTTCACATATCTATCTCCCACATTATACACTGATTCCTTTTATCAGAGGGACTGCTTTATGCCCAACACAAAGAAGGCATTCAACAAAGATTCAGTAAATAAATATTAGAGAAATATCTGTTTCCACTATGGGGAATAGAGAGTAATGATGCTCGATCTTCACACCTGAATTTCATCTCTCATGAACCTATGATGAACCTCTTTCCTTGAGCTAATATTCATGCCTGCATGGTATGTTCCACAGGCTAACTTCAGTTTCGTGAGTTCAGCTGTAACTTGTTCTGTCATTTTTCTGGAAAGACAATAGATGATAGTTGGACCTTCAAATTCCCAGGCAGAACTAAAGAAAAAGAAAAACAAAAGAACATACATATTTATACACACAGGCTTCAGACCAGTTTGGGTTTTATCTTAATTTTCCCGTTCTTCTTAAATTTTTGATTTAATTTCACTTTAATTTTTAAATTTTAATTTTCCTTTTAGTAAAAGAGTAACAGGAGAAAGCATATGGAAAACAATGATATATTTAACAACATAAAAATCTAAAACATTATGGAAAGTCAAATGTGAAAATTATGTTAAACCACAAACACCTTTGACCCAGTTTTTGCTCAAATTAAACTTAAAACCAGAGACAAGTTTATTTATTTAAGCAGAAGCCTTAATAAAAACTTATAAACTACTGGAAATGCAATTTCTACACTTTGGGAAATGCAAACAAAGCACAAGATTAACAATTAGTCTTCATTTACATTAAGAAAAGTAAGTGAATATTTACATAAAAGAATGGATAAAATTTGTATTACATTATTCTTATTCTTTCTTATGATCATGAAATTGAGATCCTAAATATGTTTACTAAAAAAGCAAAAACTTTCTTATAAAATTAAAAGATTGTTTTTATAGTTCAAAGAAGTATTTACTAATAATCTTGAGACTAGGACTGTTATAGAAAACAACATCTGTTAGAAAGTCTGTTTTAGAAACTTATGCTTATTTATTAAAAGTGTAAACAATGATTTCCATAGAACATTTAACTCCTCAATATATTCATTTACACAAATACATTCTTTTTTTTTTTTTTCATTTTCCTTGTGCCTCTTTTTTTGTTTGCTGGGAAGATTCGCTCCAAGCTAACATCTGTTGCCAATCTTCCTCTCTTTTTTGTCCTCCCCAAAGCCCCAGTACATAGTTGTATATTTTCTAGTTGTAAGTCCTTCTAGTTCTTCTATGTGAGCCACTGCCACAGCATGGCTACTAACAGACGAGTGGTGTAGTTCCAAGCCCAGGAACCAAACCCAGGCCGCCAAAGCGGAGTGCACCAAACTTGAACCGCTAGGCCATCAGAGCTCGCTCAAATACATTCATTTATAATCACTTAATCAATAATAAAAAGACTGTATTATTTTAGATTTAAGAAAAGTTATTTTACTTAATTTTTAATGCATATATCCTTTGATATAATTTCAATTTTAGGAATCTATTTTACAAATATACTCACATATCTGCCAAAAGATATATATACACTATTATTCATAGCAAAACTATAATAGTGAAAAATAATCAATTTTCATCATTATGTACATTCATACTATAAAATACTAAGCAAACATTAAAAAATTAAATATACAAAATCTTTACGAAGGACTATGGCAAAAGTCATTGAAAACTTAAGCAGAAGAGAAAAAATCAGGAGTAATTTCACTCTAAGAGTCTTACAGAATAATCTATTCAAAGCAATTTTTGATAGTGACCAAATGGGCTTCCATATCAAAAATTCAGTAGATAACTTCATGGAGTGAGAAAAAATACAATTTTTTTTTTCAGTGAGGAAGATTGGCCCTAAGCTAACATTCATTGCCAATCTTCCTCTTTCTGCTGAGGAATATTAGCATTGAGCTAACATCTGTGCCTCTCTTCCCCTATTTTATATATGGGACACCGCCACAGCACGGCTTGATGAGCGGTAAGTAGGTCCGCACCCAGGATCCAAACCTGTGAACCCTGGCATGCCGAAGCAGAGTGCATGAACTTAAGCCCTATGCCACTGGGCCAGCCCTCAAGTTATTTTTTTAATGTACAAGAATCTCATTTAAAAACACTTTTCAGGGGCTGGCGCGGTGGCGTAGCGGTTAAGTGTGCGCACTCCACTTCAGCAGCCTGGGGTTCGCAGGTTCGGATCCCTGGTGTGCACTGATGTAACACTTGGCAAGCCACACTATGGCGGTGTCCCATATAAACTAGAGGAAGATGGGCATGGATGTTAGCCCAGGGCCAATCTTCCTCAGAAAAAAGAGGAGGATTGGCATCAGATGTTAGCTCAGGGCTAATCTTCCTCACCAAAATAAAAAAAAAAACACTTTTCAAAGAAGAAAAAACCATTCACCAAAATGTGGATATTACAATATCCTATACATTAAGGTCCTGATTTAAGAAACACAATAAATAGAAACATAGCAAAGATACTTTAAATGAAAGGTGGAAATTGCAAAAAAAAGGGACATACTATGAAACTGTTTCTGTATAAACTTAACAGCAAACACTAGGAGAGCATATCTGCACAGTACAGAGTCAGCTTAGAAAAGATTATAAAGCTAAATGCCAAAATATCAACACTGATCATAACTGAGGAAGATAGTTGGAAGATTGAAGTACTTTTCAATTTACATACATCTGTATTATTCAAATTGATACTAAGATTATGTATCGCTTTTTACATTGAAAAAATAGAAAATACACAAAAATTTGAACTTACGGAGCAGAAAAATCAAAGGAGTAAAAATTCCTATTACAAAAGGATTCATTACTTTGCCAAGTGGTTTACTAAGACTGTTATTTCCTTACAACATTTCCTGAGAGGGGAAAAAACCTCTAATTTAATCTAACCATTAAATTAGATAGGTAAGAGGCTTATCTATCTAATTTAAATGTATCATGAATATAGAAAACAAGGTCAGAGTTTAAGAAACCTGTTAGATCAATGAATAGAAAAAATGTGAATATTGATAAACAAATGGCAGACTTAAATGAAGGGAAGAAAATGGAAACAAAGGCAATACTCCAAAGTCTTAATTACTCTCCATCTTCTTGCTCATTAAGAAGAAAACTTCTATTTGCCTAAGATCTATAGAAAGCATTCTGACTCTCAGTGGTTCCCTGCTCCCAAAACTCTTCTTGGAGGATTGAAAATTAGTACAAAATCTTTTTTGGTTTGCTTTTGGAAAAATCATTGTCACATTGAATATCAAAATCTGGGATGGTCTTGGTCGTTAGGCTAAGGAGTCTGGCCTTTAGTCCACAGGAAAGAGGGAGCCACTGGAAAGGAACTCCAAGACCTGGGGATGTGCTTTCAGATGACAAATCTGAAAATTGTGTACAGAATGCAACAAGGAGCACTGAGGAGGAGGGAGGTGTGTTAGGAGAGATTATAATAGTCTGGCCTTAAAGGTAATAAAGAGCTTAATCAGCAGAATTAACATGAAAGATAGTGAGAAGAAAACATTTACATAAAATCATAAGAGGACGATACTATCAGAAAGATAGGATGCCACAAGGTCACAAAAAATGGTAAACACAGTTTCAAAAAGGAGAGGGCACTAGAGGAAAGTGCCACAGAGACTGAGAATATGGACTGAAAAGGACCAAAGATTAGGAGAGCAGATAATCTGACTGTGGGGATTCTAGCCTAGAATAAACAGCCTTCTTCAAGAGAACGTTTTTTCCCTTTAGGATGGAAGGGAAGTAAAGTACAACAAAGACTCACTTTGGAGAGATCACTAGAGCAGCCAGAACACTCAGAATATATTCATTACATTCTTATTTTATTCTGAATACAGGACAATCAAGCCAATAGCAAATCCTACATTTAAATTCATCCTAAAGGTCCGCAAGAGTTACCCTAGGGTTTCCTTAATTTAGAATCGATCTCTTCTTTTTATCCCTTTCTGAAAAGAAAAACACTAATGATGTTCTTTAAACTCTATTTGTCTAGATTTGTTTTGTGTTTGTATTGGTAGGACAAACATTATTCCTATGTATTCTGACTTAGAAACACATTTCACAACACAAAAATTATCTTTTCACTGAGCAGACAGAGCAGGGAATAAGGCTATGGGAAGCTTCTTAGCATAATATAAAATGCCTTGAAACAAAGGAAGAAGTATTAGTGACTAGTTTCTTCATCAGTAAAATGAAAATACGTAGCTTCCCGAACAGTTATAAGGATTAAACTAGATCACTTACATAAAGCGCCTAGGATAGTCCTTGGCACACAATACGGGTTCAGAGAGAGTTTATTACTAAGATGACTTCTAAAATTCCTGAATACTCAAGTTAGTTATATAATTAGTGAACTACGTAGACTTCAGATAAAAGACTCTGTTGTTGTTGTCGTTTACCTGTCAATTATTAAGAATGTATGCCATGTTTAAGCAACATTACGGAGTACAAAAATATTAGAAGAATTGGTTTCTGCCTTCAAAAATTGACATTTTTCCTCAGTCACTGTCTTGATTATATAACATTACACTTGACTTAAACCAAAGCTAAGTAGAATTTAAAATGTTAAATACGCATTAGAAAGAAAAAGAAAAAAAATAAAATAAATTTTTAAAAGAGAAGGAAATAGTTACCCAAATTTATCAACCATGAAATCCTCACCTTGTCTTCTGAACAAGAAATTGCTTCAGATCCTGAAGGATGTTTCCTGTTTTTTGTCCAACCTCTAAATACAAGTTTGGTCGATCAAAACCAGTGCAGGTAATCTGAGGATTCTTCAGTTTCAAGCAACGTATGATGTCTTCCCGGATTGAAGAACTTGCAGTAGCAGTGAGTGCGATGATTGGAACCTGAATGAAGTAAAATGGATTTTTAAAAAAGATGAGAACTCATTAATTCCCAACATTTCTACTGCCTTCTTACAAAGAGAGTGGAAGACAACCACAGGAAGAACAGGGTTAAAAATGCAACTTTAAGAATATTCTTTTCTAAAGAAGAAAAAAAAACTTCCTACTTCCTTGTTTCTCAGCCTTGTGAATACATGTACTTTATTTACATCAGAACTCATTTAAATAAAACACTAAATCCATGATTTCTAAATGCAATCTACCTTGTCTTATTAAATTAAGCCTACTTATTAGCTATCTACTTCTCCATTTATTATTTTTCAACATTTATTACATTTATAATAATGCTGATATAAATGGGGGTTATGTTGTGCTCTATTTTTGATTAATCTATAATTCACAAATTTCATTTTATTCAATGAAAATCTAACTATACAAAGCAATGAGTCTTTTTTCATCTCCTACATTAAATATACTGGTTTATGGCTCCTCAGCTCTAGAAGCAAAGCTCTCAACGACCTGGATAAACTCTCTCCAGTTTTACTAAGTTAATCATGGCACACTATACACAAGAAAAATGCATAAAATGAAACATCAATTATTAACTGATTCCTTGAGCAACCAAGTCATCATGTTCTATTTTCAGTCTAGCAAAGACTTCTTGACTAGATTAGCAGCCAAAGCAGGAGGCATAGCAGGTATCAGGAAAAACATGAATATGTAATCTTGCAGAAATTCCAAAGTTAGGAAAACAACATACTTCCTGTGAAACTAGATTTAATATTTTTGTCCCTACTATCAAAGGGAGTTATAATCAACCATGCAATTATTTCATAATCAGAAAAAAATGGACTAAGTCTTGAAGTTTTCCTAAATCATTAGCTGTTCTATACCCAGAATACAACTTTCTTAAAATATTGTTTTTGGCCCATTACAAATACAGTAAACTATTTCCTCATAAAATGGCTCTTCAGATACAATGCGTCTACCTCACAAATCAGTTTAAGCAATTATCTTGTATGTAGGTGAAAATTTATATGCAATTTGTAAAAAAGCAATTATAGAACTTGAAAAACAAGATAATTTATTAAAAACTATAAACTACTTTTATAATCAATATAGCTTTACTGAATTAAAAATTATCTCAAAGCTCGTGTAAAAAAAATCAACTAAGTTTGGGAGTATTTTTAAACTGAAAAAATTATATCAAAACCAATGTGACCACGTAATTGGCATTTTTGCATTCTCTATCCTTAAATGTCGTGAAATTATTCAAAAATGTAACCCCCAAATTAATTTCATTGATTTCTGGCTTACAATCAGACTGTTCTCTGAATTTATAGAGTGCCTGCCTAACAACTTATAGATGAATAGGCCAACTTATAATGAAGTTGATTTCTCTAATCAAGCCTTAATATGTATATATATATCTGCCATATATCTCTATATCAATTAAAAAGAAAATATCTATATATCAAATATAAGGCTGAGAATAAGAGAAATTTAAACATCAGAAGTTCTTAGGACATGCACATATTCACCCTCACAACAACAAAGCATTTTCATCTAAATTGATGAAACAATTTATAAATACACTAATAAAATACTTGTTTAACTACATATGCAGATAAAGACAGACGTTTTTAGAATGGAGACTATAAAAAAAGAGGGTCTAGGACCAGCCCCGGTGGCCTAGTGGTTAAGTCTGGCATGCTTCGGTGGCCTGGGTTTGGTTCCCGGGTACAGACCTAGACCACTCATCTGTCAGTGGCCATGCTGTGGTAGTGGCTCACACACAAAATAGAGGAAGACCGGCAACAGGAAGATTGGCAACAGATGTTAGCTCAGGGTGAATCTTCCTCAGCAAAAAACAATATGGTTTGATTTGTTTCTTGGCAATATAATGTATGAGAGGAAGGACAACACATTTATGGAAATAAGTGTGAAACGTGACACATCTCTTGAAGATGTTAACAGAAAACTCAGGTAAAACAGCAGCACGGTAGGGAAAAAAATCCAGCTTAGAATCACTTACCTGAGTTGAAATCCTGCCTTTGCCACTAACTAGGTGTGAGATTTGTGCTGTTCAATTAACTCTCTAAGCTTTGGTTTCCTCCTCTATAGAATGGCTACAATAACAACAACAAACTCACAAAGTCGTTGTGAAGACCCAATGAACTCAAACACGTACCGTAATGTGCTGAACATAATGCACGGTAGAGTCAGCACTCACAAAGGTTCAGCTGTTACTGATATTGTTACCGCAACAACTGAACAGCATTCTATACAAGAACCCCAGAGACATGGGCACTACTCCCAGATTTGTTTGCTGAGTTTGGCAAGGGCTAACTTCTCTTGGTCTCAGTTTTTTCTTCAAAATACAAGATGGAAAGGGCTACACGATGTTAGGTTCTCTTCCAACTTAAAAATTCCCTCTTTGCCACTAGAAACCCCCTATTCCAGCGACCTGCTAACAGTGAAAAATCACTATAAATTCACTGTTTTGGCCCCCAACATTTTAGAAAGTCACAGTTAAGAATGCTGCCTCCACAATCAGAAAATAGAATAAAGTAACGGAATATATTAAACTTAAAAAAACCATAGTTATTTACTTTCACTTCAGAAATGAACAGAATCTTTTCTCTTAGAAGCTTGTGGTGCTTTATGACATTTAAAATTTTTGAACTAAGGTGAAGCTGAAAAGTAACACTCAGGCTGGTTAAGAGAAAGTGACCATGCCTCCTGGTTTGCTGGACACCGCCAGTTTACGCTGTCATCACAGCAGAATTATTAATCACTTGTAGCTTTTAACTTTCAAAAGCAAACTGGTTTGGATGATATAATGTCACTTAGTTATATCAAGTTCTTAACTCATGAAACTCTTATTCTTTAAGTTGGTAAATCTTGGTTTCTTTGGTAATAAGTACCAAGTTTTGTTAAAATAAGCAACAAAATATAAGCTAATCTTGTGACTATAAATTTAGGAATGACTTAGTCATATACTTCAATGGTGTAGCCCCTACAGATTCAGAGAATTATAACTATTCCATTTGTTTCTAAACCTGGGTTGTGGGGCTAATTCCAACTCTGTACTCCACAATATCATGCTTCATTCATTCACTCATCATTTCAAACAGTTATTGAGTGTCTACTATGTGCTGATCTCTGTGAAAGGGCTGGGCAAGAAGTGATGGAAAGAACCAACATGTCACACGGATCTCACAGATCCTCTTATTTGAATTTTACAGAATTCTAAGACTGATGTAGAGCTTTCTGCCTGGCTGTTCTTTCTTGAGACTCACTTTGTCTGATTCTCTCCAAACAGAAATCTTTGTGCCAAATGTGATTTCTCAGTGATTTCTTTGCTATTTTTGAACTTACTGAAATAATATGGTGTGAAGCATTGCAGGTTTACAGCAGTTGTCCCAGTGTAATTACAACTGGAAGGAGAAAAAAAGCACTGAGAACAGTGAGGAGAATGAGAGTCCTACAACCACCAGGTGGCATTTCTCACCCCTTAGCTAATAACAAGGATTCATGAAAACACTGGGGGAAAAAGGTTTTCTCAGCCATTGCTTGACGAATACCCTGTGCTACACTGATTCATGCCAAGAAATGAAAATGATCCAAGGGCCCACAGCTAGACATAATAAAAGACTAATTCAACAATGAAAAGTGTTTAAGAACTGCATAAAATATTTAAAACTCCTCTAACACAATCCTTCTAGAATCAAAGGCCTAGGAAAGGATTACAGAAAGCAATTTTCCTAGTTTCCAAAAGCTTACTTTAAACCATTCTAAATTAACAGAAAGCAGTCCTCAAGGCACACTGAGCCTAGTGACTTCCCACCATACAAATATGTTCTTTTTCTATTACATGTAACACGGTTAGACTTGCTATATTATTTGCACTGTTTCATATACCATTTATTGTTTGGTACTATTGCTTCTACTTTTAGAGGTATGAATCTAAACTCCTCTACTGGACTATAAGCTACTTTAGGGCAGAAACTGTTTTATTCTCCTTTCAAGTCATTTGATTTAGAAACTAGCACAGTGTCCCACTGTGTAGCCACTGCTCAACTCTACCACTCACCACCTGCGAGGGCAAGTTACTTCTCTGATTCTCAGCTTTCTCATCAGAATTCATTTATTCATTTACACAATTTTTTATGGAGCACCCACTATGTGTCAGGTACTGTCCTAGATTTTATAAACCAATCCATCAAAAACCCCTCTCCACAAAGAGTATTCTAGAGGGGACCCACAGACAATAGATGAGATATAGTACAGTAAGTTAAACAGTGATAAATGCTATTATAAAAATAGCAAAGGAATATGAGAAACATCAGGAGGAGGGTTAATCTGAAATTTTGAATATGGCGGTCCAGGAGGTCTAAACGAAAAAGTAGTATTTCAGCAAAGACCTGAGAGAAGGGATCACACCACATGAACGACCTGGGTGAAAAGTATTCAGGGAGAGCAAAGAGCGGGAAACAAAGCCCTACCGTAGGAGCATGGTTGGCATGTTTGAAGAATATCAAGGAGAACCATGTGGCTGGAACCCAGTGAATGAGGAGACAAGTAGTTGAGGATGAGGTCAAAGAGGAAATGGAAGACTAGATCATGTAAGACATTGCAGTGACTTTTGTCTTTATTTAGAGTGATGTGGTCTGCTACTAGATGGTTTTGAGCAGAAGACATGATCTATCTGACTTATATTTTAAAAGTATCACTCTGGACGCTGTATTGAAATAGACTGAAGGAGGAACAGAGTGAAAGCAGGAAGACCAACTAGGAGGCTATTGTAACAGCCCAGGTGAGGGAGATGGTGGCTCGTCCCAGGGCAGTGGCAGGGATCAAGAGAGAAGTGATCAGATTCTGTATATATTCTGAAGACCTCATGAGATTTCCTTACAGTTTAAATGTGGGGTGAAGTGAGAAAAAAAGAAGAGTTGAAGAAAATTCCAAAATTTTTGGCCCGAGCACCAGAAGGACAGAGTTGCTATTAAATGAGATGAGAGAGACTAAGTGAAGGCAGGTCTGGGATCGAGAGAATACCAGGAAGTCAGTTAAGAAAAGGTTCAGTTTGAGATGCTTGCTAGGCATCTAAGCAGAGAGATCTTGAGTAGGCAGTTACATTTATGTAAATGTGTGTATGTATGTACATAAATATAGAGTCTATAAAATGGTTAAAATAAAAAATATTGATAACACCAAATGCTAGCAAGGAGGCAGAGAAAATGGATAACCCACACACTGCTGGTATCAATTCAGGGTGGGCATATAAATTTGGGAGTTGTTAGCATATAGGTGGTATTTAAAACCCTATGTTGAATGAAATGACCAAGGAGGTAAGTGCAGAGAGGAAAGCGAATAGTCCAGAGTCTAACGTTTCAGGCATGCCAATGTTAAAAGGGCAAGGAGGTGAGAAGAAACAAGCAAAGGAAACTGAGAATGAAGAGACAGGAAGAAAGAAAGACAACCAGGGGAGTGTGCTATCCTAGCGACAAGTGAGGAACTGTTTTAAGAAGAAGGTAATGAAGATACTAATCTTGCTGGATTGTTATGAGGGTTAACCAAGATAAAAGCATTGACCCAGGGCCAGTCCCAGAGTTGAAGCTCAATTCATAATAGTTTGATTCTCCTTTAATATATACTTGCTAACTGGCACACTGAAGTTTTTTGTTGGTTTGTTTTATTTTACTGTAATGTCTGCTCCAACCAAATCTTTATGAGAAGAGCTAACAAAAAGAAACTATTTTTAAGATAGCTCTCAATTTACTATTCATAAGCCCAACTAATATGTAATGAAATTGAACTAGACAATCTACCAAAAGAACAACAAACAATTTCTAACACTTTTTCTTAGTTTATTCATATAACTGTTAAATCTTGGGCTCAGAAGACACTATAGTCTCACTACTACCAGGAAAACCAATCTTGTTTATCCACACAAAATTAATACAGTAGACTAGAGAACCCAGAAATAGATTCACACAAATATACCCAAATGATTTTCAACAAAGTGGCAAAAGCAATTCAATAGAGGAAGAACAGCCTTTTCAACAAATGGTTTGAAGCAAATGGACATCTACAGGCAAAAAAACGAACTTCAATCTAAACCTCACACCTTATACAAAATTTAACTCAAAACGAATCACGGACTTAAATATAAAACATAAAACTATAAAAATTTTAGAAAAAAAAATCACAGGAGAAAATCTTCAGGATCTAGGGTTAGGTGAAGAGACAACAAAAGAAAATGGTGATAAATTGGACTTCATCAAAATTAAAAATGTTTGCTATGTGAAAGACACTGAAGAGAATGAAAAAACAGCTACAAATTGGAAGAAAATATTTGCAAACCACATATCTGACCAAGGATTCATATCTACAATATATTTTTTTAAACTCAATACTAAAAAACCAAACATTCCAATTAGATCAGGTATTTCACAAAAGAGGCAGTTAGCACATAAAAGATGTTCACCATTAGAGAAATGCCAATTAAAAACACAGCATGATATCACTCCACACTTATCAAAATGGCTAAAATAAAAAAGTGACAACACCAAATACTGGCAAGGATGAAGAGAAACAGGATCGCTCATATATTGCTGGTGGGAATGTAAAATAATATAGCCACTCTGGAAAACTGTTTGGCAGTTCCTTAAAAAACTAAACATGCACTTATTAGGACTCAGCAATTGTACTCCTGGGCACTTATCCCAGAGAAATGAAAACTTATGTTCACAGTTTTAATCATTCACCCATTAAAGGACCTTTGGTTTGTATACAAATGTCACAGCAGCATTGTTCAAAATAGCCAAAAACTGGAAACAAAAGTTCTTCAACAGGGGAGAGGTTAAACAAACTGTGATAATGCCATACAATGGAATACTATGCAGCAGTAAAAAGGAATAAACTTTTGATATACATGAGAACTTAGATGGATCTCAAGGGAATTATATGGAGTGAAAAAAAGCCAACTCCAAAAGGTGACAAACTGTATGATTCCATTTATATAACAGTCTTGAAATCACAAAATTATAGAGATGGAGACCAGATTAGTGGTTGCCAGAGATTAGTTAGGGGTGAGGGGAATGGTGGGTGTGGCTGTAAAAGGACAGCTCCAGGGAACCTTGTGGTAATGGAATAGTTGTGTGTCCTGATTGCAATGGTAGTTATACAAATCTACATATGGGATAAAACCGTAGAGAACAACACAAACACACAGGCATGCACACACAAGTACTTATGAAACTAGACTAAGAATAAACTGAAATAAGAATAAACCGTGGAGACTGTACCAATGTCATACTCCTAGTTTTGATATTGTACCACAGTTATGCAAGACGTTACCACTGGGAAGTTGGGTGAAAGGTACATAAACCCTCTCTGTACATTTTTTTACAACTGCCTGTGAATCCATAATTTTTCAAAATAAAAAATAAAATGGTTGTCAGTATTGTAAGTTTTGAAGCTGTTCATGTAAAATATGCCATTCACGTAGAACACTCACATAAAACTTTGGTCTTCTTTATAATTAGGGAAGAAAGTAGAATTCTAATACTAAGAGCTTTATTAAAACCCTTTAGAATAGTCCAGTTTTTAGGTTTTCAATATGATATAAGAAGTGGTAACCATGCTTTCTTCCACAGCATCTTAGAGTAGAATGACATACGGATAAGAGATCTGTGAGAAGGCATGGGGTCTAACCATGGCTCCTAAGCAGCAGTCTACAAACCATGTTCTACAAGTTAAACCTGGCCCACAGACTGTTTTGTTATGACCCATGAGCAAAGAACAGTTTTAGCATTTTTAAAGAGTTGTTAAAAAAACAAAGAAAAATATGTGACAGAGACCATATGTGGCCCATAAAGCCTAAAATATTTATCTGGTTCTTTCAGAAAAGGTTTGCCAGCTCCTGCTCTATAGTATTCCTCGATAAATTACACACCAACCTTAGAATGAAGACAAGCTTAGCACTTGTTAGAAATCTGTCCCCTGCTGACATCATCCACTTGCTCTTTCATAGAGAAGTCCTCTGCTTTCTCGCCACTCCCCAATCCTGGACTCTCCCTTGGTGAGAATGTCATTTCCAGACACCGCACTTGGCAAAACTTACCAACGGGAATACTCTTTTTAGGGAGCCCAAACTCCTGAATGATTCTCTAAAATCATGTCCCCACTCAGAAATACAGTGAGCTTCATCCACAGCAATAAGAGTGATACCTATAAAAAAGAAAAATATAAACGGGGAAAATAAAGTTCAAAAAGAAAGAATAGACTCATCTAAATCAACATCAATTTCTTCATTTAGGATATATAAATATTACAGAAAGGAGAATGAATAATCAAATCAAAGTATTTGGTTCATATAAAAATATAAGCGTAAATAACATCTGATAATACCAAAAATCATTATTGAGAATAGAGGTGGGGAGATATGTGGATAAAAGGCATAAGGATAAAAGAAGGAAATACCTGTATCTTATTCAAACAACATATTTATTGGATTTCAGCTTTCATCATTATTTATTACTCAGAAAAATGAATTACTTACTATTATTTTGTCCTTAAAACTACCATTCATGAACCATCTGCAACAATAATGCCCTAAGAAAAAGAGCTGATCTATTTCTCTTTGGTAATACTTTCAATTTTAGCTCACGGATTAGCTATCAAAAGAGACAGAAAGACTCAGCACATTTCTAGTGAGATTAAGTGAATCACTATCCATGATTGATCACAGATCATATTACAGAGTTTCTCTGAAATGCCAATATTGGAAGACGGGATGGCATCCACATTTTCCAATGTAAAACGGTAAGGGAAGAACCAAATCTCATTATGTACAAAGTAGGTAAGAAGGAATATCATTTTTTCCTTCTTCCCCTAGCAATCCCTCCACACTACCCCCACACCACAAACCCATGTTGAAACGGAATCAATAGTGTATAGTAATGCATTTCAGAAAACAGCTTTACGGTATAACCTTCCATTACAACGACGTCAGATATTTCAAAGTAATGACAGTAATGCTTTTGCTCTCAATTAGCAAATTAATATTTAAGACAAAAATAATCTTTTCCTTCAACAGAGATGATCATTCCTCACTACTTATCTGAGTATTAATAATGTTCTGCCACTAGTGGCGCGATTAGAAACCTGTGCTCTGGAGTCAGACTGCCTGGATGAGGAACCTGGCTCCATTGCTTACCATTCGTACTACCTCACGCAAGCTACTCAAGCTTCCCAAGTTTCAGTTTCCCACAAGTAAAAGGTGGACAATAATCATACCTAACATTTTTTAGTTACTCTGAAGATTAAATTAGATCATACACATAAAATGTTAAGATAGGGCCCAGCATAAAAGAGAGCTCAATAAAAAAAGAGTACTATTATTATTATGGTTATTAAATGCCTGCTATGATCCAAACATTTTTATAGAAATAAAAAGATTAATAAAATGCAATCCATGACCTCGAGGAGCTTACAATTCTACAAGGAGACAGACAAGCAAATAAACAACTATAATTCATCGATATTACCAAAGAAAGAAAAAACAAAAACCTATTAAATATGAGCAAAGTGTGTTGATTAGCATCAAAATTCCCCAGTTACTAGTCAGTGGCTGGGAAAATTCAATGTTACCACTACATTTTGGCTTTAGAAACTAAAAGACCTAGATTTTAAATTAAATAGGTTAAAATAAAGATGATGGCTCTTCCTTTATTTTAAAACCTTCCTTTAAATTACAGGTTTGACTAACTATCCTTTAATGGAGCTGAATTTTGTCCCTCACAATCAGTTTAGGCAAGCTTTTGCCAACTTGCACTTTAAATGTGCAAGTCCAAGTGTCTGCCTAGTCCCTATGCATATGTCATTTTGGCAAAACTGTCATTCAAGCCTTATTTCCAAAGTTAAAAGACAATTACAAGTGTGTTTGTTTTTAAGGAGTCTCCATATAAAACTATGTTTGCTGCTTCTGTTATAAACTCATAATACTTAAATAATGTAACATTTATCATAAAAATCATAAATCTGATTAGCTAAATGTCATACTGTACAAATAAAATTCCGAGTATGCTCACTTTTGCAAGCATTTTACAATTTCCCACAAAAAAAAGCCAAAAAAAAAATATTTCAAAAAGAATTTATCCCTTCTTGTTCAACAATGAGAGTCAACCAAAAAGAACATTTTCATCCATCACATGAGGAGTATTCTGCTGTAATGACTGCAGTGTTCATAACTTAATCCAGTACAAAACAAAAATAGAGAATTAGAACTACCTGCCAAAAGGATCTAAGTAAATAAGCTAATTATTGATTAACTCCATCACAGGAACAAAGCAAATGCTAAAATGGACACAACATATCCAGACCACTATAGACAAAGACCCTACCTTTTGCAATAAACCTAAGAAATTTACAAATCTAGGGTAGTTAGGCTTAATCTAAGTGAAACACTCATAAGAACTTCATACAACCTAACAGGAGATACATATTTGTTTTCTTTTAAAGGAAAAATATAAAATGCCAATAAGGGAGTTTAACAGCTGATGGATGCACTCTTTGATAATATATTTAATCAAATGTTATATTTCTACCCTCAGTCTTTTGCTGGTATTTAACACATACTAAAAGATAGAAATTTTTTTTTATTATCTTGTTAGAAAAACTGTTAAACATTTTCCTAGAGTTATATGCAAATAACCATTAAATGAGATGTTGCAATGCTGAAAACTTTACGTATCTGGAATTATTTTAATACATAATTGTACAACAAGATCACATAATATTAGAAAACTAAGATTGGTTGGTTCAACTGAATGTTTGAAATATGTGCATTCACAATAGAAGCCATGATTGCAACTCTTAGATAGCTAAGCCTAACCAGTAAGAAGGAAAAAACAAACAGACAAAAATTTTCTAAGCACAAAAAAAATGGTACCAGCTTTTGATTAATTCTATATTTACATTTTCTAGGAAATAAGCTCTGACTTATTATCTAATTTTTTTTTAATTAATCATACTCATTGGTGGCAAATAATCAAAGGTACTGTGGTTTCCAACCCTGACTACACATCAGAATCACCTATGAAAAACTACAGAGGCCAAAGCCCCACTCCAGGCGTGTTAAATCAGAATTTTCAAGGTTGGAGGATTCTACATTGTTCTAAAGTTTGAGAGGTGAGTCTCAGGAACAAGAAGAGTGGAGAGCTAGTACAATGATTTAATTTAGATTCAGAATAGGAAAAAAGAGAAATTATACTTTCATAGAATCTAAGATTCAACATTCATTCAACAATACATTTATTATTATTTTTTGTGTGTGTGAGGAGGATCGGCCCTGAGCTAACATCTGCCAATCCTCCTCTTTTTTTGCTGAGGAAGACTGGCCCTGGGCTAACATCCATGCCCATCTTCCTCCACTTTATATGGGACGCTGCCACAGAATGGCTTGCCAAGCGGTGCGTGGGTGCGCGCCCGGGATCCGAACTAGCAAACCCCGGGCCGCCCCAGCAAAGCACGTGCACTTAACCGCTTGCACCACCGGGCTGGCCCCAACAATACATTTAAATGCCTACTCTGTGCCAGGCACTGCACTAGGGAAACATAAATAAATAAGAATGGTATTTTTCCCCCCAAAATTTATGGTCTAGCAGAAGAAAACAGACATATAAACAGGTAATTATAATACAGGAGCCTAATTTCTATGGCAGAAGGAATTAGATAAGACAGGAGAGCTACCAAGTTGGACAGTCAGAGATTTCCTGGAGAAGATAATTTTTGAAATAAACTTGAACAGAAGTGAAATCCAGTATTCATGCATAAGTTTAACTTTAAAGGATAACTCAATTCAATAAATACTTTAAAAGGTCCTATCATACCACTTACCAATATTAGCCTGAAATTGTTGGAGCAGGTGCAAGTTACCTGAACAGAATTCTGGAGTTATGTATACAATCCGATACTTGCCTCTGTAAAAACAAACAAACAAAAAAATAGGAAAGGAAACATACTACCATAAAGAAAACAATCACCCAATGAGTTACAACTTAAAACCATAATATATGATAAATTTTTAAATAATACATTATGCCACTGACCAAAACCTAAACGCACGTTATATATATGTGTATACATCCACATATATTAGTTCTCTGATTTCACTTCAACACATCAAAATAAAAACTGGCAATGCCTGTCAAGAAGTACTCAGCATTAAGGTGACATCAGATGTCAGGTTCTGATTTCCAAGAGCCTAGCCCTGAAACTTTAGTGCTTGAGGTAAATGATCAAGCCTATAGTAAACCTTTTATATGTTAGCAATCCACCCACATACCGCCCTCCTTCTCAGAGAACTACAACCCATTACCCTATGCCCACCCCCTCCCCATGATTAAACCCACAGCACTATGTTTCTCCTATGTATTCTGCTCTTTTGTCCATACCTTCTTGGGCCAGGGACAGACAGTGTATCAAAGTCAAGTCAATTAGTCTCTGTCTTAGAATTTGGGGAATCTGACCAAGAAACAACCAGTCAGTCTCTGCAAGTGGCAAGACCCGTAACACGTAAAAAAAGCAGCTGCAGAGCAGTCTTCTATTTTGTGACTAGAAGAGCAGAGAATGCTTATCTCCTCAGGGAGAAGAATGAGGAAGACACATAGAAGCTATAAATAAAAAGAAAGCCCTATTGTATTTTCAATACCCAATTCCAGTCTCTTCCTAAAGGATGGCTAACTTCTTTTCAGTGGGATCCGTGAGACATTCCTGTATCCTTAACATAAAATTCAATATTCGCTTAAGCTAGCTTGATTGATTTCTACTCTGGGCAGATAGAATCCTAATTAAGACAATGTCTATAATAAAGATTAAGTCTAGGGCAAAATACGTATACAGTCTCTTTTCCATTCTACTAAATGAAGATATAGGCCAAGTAAAACAAAATGAAATTTAGTTTTCTTTATGAAAAGACTTTAAAATATTTAATCTTTAGTATGCTAGGCACGGTACTTTCACTAGGAATGAGAACAAAATAATTAAGAACAAAACAGATATGCTTTTAATCTCATGAAATTAATTCAGTATTCTAATTAACACAGGAAACAAATAATAAGCTCTGCTGTCAGACTGCCCAGGTTTGAATCTCAGTTCTACTTCTTACAAGCTAAGTGATCTTAGGCAGGCACTTAACTTCAGTGTGCCTCAGTTTCTACAGTGTAAAACAGTGATGATAATTACAAAGATAGCTAATTCTCTATAACCCTAGTTCCAAGGTAAACCCAATCAAAATCTCAGCTGGTATTTTAGTTGAAAAGGTGATTGTGAAATATTTATGGAAATCTAAAGGACCTAGAATAGACAAAAATCTTTGAAAGAAAAGAACAAAATTGGAAGACTTGCACTATCTGATTTCAAGACTTAAGATAAAGCTATAGTAATTAAGACACCAATCCAGATAGACAGATTGACAGAACAGAAAACAGAGGGTAGCAACAGACCCACATGTATGTAGTCAATTTATTTTTGACAAAGGTGCAAAGGCAATTCAGTGGAGAAAGGATAGTCTTTTCAACAAATGGAGTGCATCAACTAGATATCCTTATGTGAAAATTGTAATCAACACCTTGTACAATATACAAAATTTACATAAAATGGGTTATAGACCTAAATGTAAAACTTAAAACTAGAACACTTTTAGAAGAAAATCTTTGTAATCTTGAGTTAGGCAAATATTTCTTATATTCGAGACCAAAAGTAAAATCCATAAAACAACAAATTCACAAACTAGACTTTATCAAAATGAATAACTGAAAAACTGCTTCTCTTTAAAAGAACTGCTAAGAGAATGAAAAAAGAAGTCATAAACTAGGAGAAAACGTTTGCATAGCATATATCAAATAAAGGATTTGCATTCAGAATATAAACAAGTATCAAAACTCAATAAGGAAAAAATAATAACAAAAAAAGGACAAAAGATGTGACTGGACACTTCCTCAAAGAAGATACACAGATGGCCAATAAGTGTATGAAAAGATGCTCAATATCATTAGTCATTAGGAAAATGCAAATTAAAAACACACTGAGCTCCTATTAGAACGGCTAAAATTAAAGACTGGCCATACCAAGTGATGGCAGAGATAAGGAGGAATTGGAACTCTCAGAAACTGCTAGTGATGGTACAAACTCTCGAAAAGTCTGGCAATTTCTTAAAAAGTTAACATAGAATTATCATATGATCCACCAATTCCACTCCTAGGCATATACACAAAAGCGCTGAAAACATATATTCATGTAAAAACTTGTACACGAATACTCATAGTACCATTATTTATAACAGCCAAAAAGTGGAAACAACCTAAATGTCCATCACTGATGAATGGATAAATAAAATATGGTATGTCCATACAATGGAACATTATTTATCCATAAAAAGAAATGAAGTACTGATAACATTATGCTAAGTGAAAGAAGCCAGACACAAAAGGCCACATACTGCATGAGTCCATTTATATGAAATGTCCAAAATAGGCAAATCACAGAGACAGAAAGTAGATTAGTAGTTGGAAGAGCGTTGGGGAGGAAGAATGGGGAGTGACTACCTAATGGATATGGAGGTTTTTTGGGGATGACGAAAACGTTCTGGAATTAGGTAGTGGTGATGGTTGCACAACATTGTGAAAGTACTAAAAGCCACTGAACTGTACACTTTTAAAATGGTTAAAATAACGAATATTATATTATATAAATTTACCTCAATTAGAAAAAAAAAGTTAAACATATATCCACCACAGGATCCAGCCATTCCACTCCTTGGTTTAGATCAATGAAATGAAAATATATGTCCATACAAAGACTTGCATACAAACGTTCATAGCAGCTTTACTTGTAATAGTCCAAAACTGGAAACAATTCAAATGTCTACCAACAGGTGACTAGATAAACAAATTGTGGCATATTCATATGATGTAATCTATTCAGCAATAAAAAGGAATGAACTATTGATACATGTGACAATATGGGTGAATCTCAAAATAATTATGCTGTGTGATTTAAACCAGACAAAAACGGGCACATATTGTATAACTGATTCTGTTTCTCTATAATTTTAGAAAATGTAAATTAATCTATAGTGACTGCAGATCAGTAGTCCTGGTGAGTGAGGTGGAGAAGGTAGGGAAAGGTGAGAGGAATAGATTACAAAAGGTATGAGTAAACTTTGGGGGTGATGCGTATGTTCATTATCTGGATTGTGATGATCGTTTTGTGGACGTTTATATGCCAGAACTTACCACATTATGTAAAATTTTAAGTATGTAAAATTTATTGTTTGTCAATTATACCTCAATAAAGGTGATTTAAAATGTTTAGGAAAAAAGAAAACATATGTTTAAGAAAAGATTTCATAGGAATGTTCATAGCAGCTTTATTAGTAATAGCCCAAAACTAGAAATAGCTTAGGCGTCTATCAATAAAGAAATGAAAAAACAGTGGTATTTTCATACAATGAAATACCACTCTGAGATTTTAAAAAAAAACTACTGACACATACAATGACATGGAGGATCCTCAAAACATTCTGCTGAGTGAAAGAGTCTTACACAAGAGTTCATATTATATGACTCCATTTATATAAAGTTCTAGAACAGACAAAACAAAAGTACAGTAGAAAAAATTAGAACAGTGGTTTGTTTTAGGATGGAGGATAGAAGGACAGACTGGAAACGGACATGAAGAAACTTTCTAGAGTGACAGTAATATTCTATATCTTCCTAGGGGTTTAGGTAACATATTTGTATGTATTTATCAAAACTCAGTAAATACATGTGTGTATGTGTGTGTATTAATATATATACATATACTTTTGTTTGTGTCTGAGATTTTATTTTTGTTAGAAATTACGTCATGATAGGACTGGTGGAGCAAGAGATCTAGAATCCAGTCCCTGCTCAGTCATTTATTCACTGAGTGACTTTGGGCAAATTACTTTCTCTGGGCCTCAGTTTCCTCATCTGTAAAGTAAGACAAAACTAAATACTCTCCAAGTTTTCTTCCAAAACCAAAATTTTCCAATTCTATGATTACAATACTAACCTTAGAGTCCAAGAACTGAAAATAATAGGTTTAAGTTTGTAAGATTTTAAAATTAACAGCTCTGCAAATGTACTATAAAAGAAAGTACATTTTTAAATCATGGACATTTTGTTCGTGCATTAAATAAAATTTTTTTATGTACAAAATTCTCTCACACACCATAGACACTTGACCATATGGATCAGAAATCATATAAATTACTCACAATTTAATATCCTCTAGAACATTTTTTGACTGTGCTGATCCCAGAAAACAAGCTGGAACGTTGGACATTCTATAAGGAGAAAAACAAATATTCTGGAGCCACATACACACTACAAATACCAACGGCATTCTTAAGTGAGAAGGAATAAAGAAATATAATGATGCACATTCCTTTTCTTTGCATTCCTCACTCTTTTTGTAACTCACTAATTTGACAAAATCCTTCAAGGAGGCAGGTTGCTAAGGTGGGTTTTTTCAACAAGTTTGCAAGCTCTGGTTAAAGAAGTTTACATTTTTTTCATAACTAAAAAATATACTTCTATGTATACACTTAAAGAAACAAGTGTAGCCAAAAGAAAAGAATTTTGAGATATGCAATGTAAACTGGCATAAAGTTTGCTTTCAAAAAATTTTTTATCAGGGCTACTTGGTAGCCTTGAATTACAGTGAGCTCAAGAAAGAAGATACATTCTTCCACTAAAGTGTCATTTATTACTGATGAAGACAAAGCAACCCTTATAAAAATGTGTTACTGGGAACTAGATTTTAACATACATGATAGATCAGATGTTTCCGTCACAGAAGGAAAAAAAGGGATGATAATGTGGCAATGAAAACACTACTTACTCAAGCTGGAGCACTTGGTCTTCCATCAAAGAAATAAGAGGAGAGATAACAAGGCCAATCCCGCCTACATAAACTGGTGGATACTGGAAGCACAAACTCTTTCCAGATCCTTAAAATAAAAATAACACACTCATAGAAACAAAAATAAAGCCTTGGTACTTTGATTTCTTCTTAAAATGTACTTGTATGAGATGAATGGTCACTATATGCTATATTCCTAAGAGCTAATTCATGCATTAATTTGAGCATCTACTCTCAGTTCACTCTCTTCTATATTTTACATCATTTGTATTTCTGTTTGTATTTTGAGAGTTTAATGAAAGATTAAGCATTTCAAAACTTCAAGTTATATTTTTATGTATAAGTATAGTAAGTATAACTTACCAGTTGCCATGACAACAACATTATCTCTTCTTTCTTCCAATACAGAATGAATCACTTTCCACTGAACCCTGGAGAGTTAAAAGCAAAAAGCTGTTTTGTTTTACTAACAAGAAACCCAAGGGACAAGGTGAAACCCATTTAATTTTTTTACTTTCTCTAACAGAATTTCTTTTACATTTTTGAGTCTCAATATAAAAATGTATCAACCCTAGAACTTTAAAACAAAGAGCCTTATGTATTAAATTTTATTACATATATCTAAAGTATAAAACAAAGTCCAAGCTACATACTAGATATCCAATAGAATCATTGACTTAAAACAAATAAGAGAAACACTCCAGAGGCAAGGGTTGACTGAGAAGGAAAATGAGGGAATTTTCTGGAGGGATTGTAATGTTCCATATTTTAATAAGGGCATAGGTTACATGGGTTCGTGCAGGTACACTTACGATTTGCAAATGTACACTTAAGGTTTGACCATTTCCTTGTACGTAAATTTTACATCAAAAGAAAAAAACATAAATAAATATTTAACTATAGTTACTGATTCATACGCTGAAGTACTTAGGAGAAGTGTAATGATGTCCACAATTTACCTTGAGATGCATTTTAAAAACTGGATGGATTAAGGAAGGAATGGATAGACAGATGATCAAAGGATACGTGATAAAGTAGAGTAAAATGTTGACTATACAGGTATTCATAGTAAAAAAAATTCAACTTTACTATATCTTTGAAAACTTTTTAAGCAAAATGTTGAGAGAAAAATCAATCTGAAAGGTGATCTCCTGGTGTGCTGATAATGACCTATTCTTTTTTATCTGAGTGCTGTTTACAGAGGATGTCTAGCTTGTGAAAATTCATTGATCTATACATTTATGTGCACTCTTCTGTAGGTAGGACAAAGTTCAATAAAAAAAAATTATTTAAGACCAAAAGAAAAAAGGAAATAAATGTTTCCATGAATTAAATTTTAAACTCCTAGAATCAGAAAAATCCAGTCTAGATTTTTACATTCTTATCAGTTTTATTTAAATTTACTTGTTCCTCATCTCATTTTAATACTTAGATGTAAATACATTTGAATATATTAAAATTGATAAGATTATCACTGTTCTTCAAACTGTTGTCTCATGAATTTCTATTACATCAACAGGCTTTGGACAATAAGATGCACAGAATAGACACACAGATACTTATTTAAGGAAAAACAAGTCAGTATTAAATTAAGATTCATTTATTAGGGGCCGGCCCCATGGCTTAGCAGTTAAGTGCGCACGCTCCGCTGCTGGGGGCCTGGGTTCGGATCCCGGGCGCGCACCGACACACCACTTCTCCGGCCCTGCTGAGGCCGCGTCCCACATATAGCAACTAGAAGGCTGTGTAACTATGACATACAACTATCTACTGGGGCTTTGGGGGAAAAAAATAAATAAATAAAAATTAAAAAAAAAAAAAAGATTCATTTATTAATGTATTTAAACTAGTTTCTACCCAGAATTCTCTATGGTAAGGAAAATGATTTTTCCTCACTTATAAAAACAATCTGCAGACATGAATTTTATGTAAATATTACTTCAAAATAACTCTGTAGTCACTTATAGGAAATACAGTGTGGCATGTATAAACTATAGTGAAGTTGGGCTGTTACTGTTAAATGGATGGATTATTTGCCGTTTTTCCTTTGTGAAAAAATAGTAAACATGCAATTTAATCAACTGAGATTATACTCACGGCTTAAAACTGGAATGGCCAAAGTAGGTCTTGAGGCAAATAACTTGTTCTGCGTTAGGTCCTGGTAACGAATGGCCTGAAAATAAAACGGGCATTTATGTTAAAATAGAAGTACACAAGGTGAGATGGAATAAAAGTTTTAGTTCATTGGCTTCTTTTAAAGAATATAGTGAGAGGTGCCAAAGGTTACTGTTCTGTGCCTTTTAAATCCAACCAATTTGGTCCTCTGGGTACCAGTCATGACTCTAGGTAAATACTTTGATTATCACCTAATACTAAGGATTAGAACTTTGTTGTGGTTCTCACTTTGCCAGCACTGTCAAAAACCAACGTTTTGGAATTTGCTAAACTTCTGAAAATTAACATTTAGACCCAACCATGGAAAAGCAATATACCAATCCAAATCTTATAATAACGGTAATCAGAAATTACATTACTGTCACAAATAAAATCCACAGATAAAATAAAATCTTCATTTTAGTTACCATTCCACCAAACCTTTGACCAAAATTCTAACTGCCTAGCATAATGGAGTTATCTCAATTTTACCCAACTGATTTTCATTTTCAACTCAGGTTGAAGGGTTCATGAGCGGCCAAGAAAGAGCAAAGCAAAGAATCAAGATAATTCATCTCTAAAGAAATGAAAATTTGTTATTATACTTCTCAGCTTTAACAATTCTAAGTAGAAAATCAAATTGATTTGGAGATATCACATCTGTATTTAATAGAAGAAAACAAAGGGAAAAACATTTTTTTAACATCTTCATATACTTTCCACATACAAAATGTATTTTAAATTTCCCACATTATAACACTGATGAAATCTAACCCTAGAGAGAGTCTACTTTATGACAAGACCCTACAGTTTGCCATAATGAATACTGTTACTTACACTTAAATAATAGGAGGTTCATTTAGTGGATTCTTTACTATAGTTAGCATAGACGGTATGAAAATTAGTCCATTTTGCTTTTTGACATTGTACCACTTGTTTTAAGTAATAAGCTCCTAAAGAACCGATACTATGTATCTATGCCACTTACAATAATGTTTAATATAATTAATTGATTTTTTATGATTTTGACAAACAAAATATAAAATTCAGGATAAAAAGTTTCACATCACCATATTCACCAAATGACACAACACTTCTATCACTCTACTTTTATAAGTAGTAAGATCCTGCTTTATGAAGACCAAACTATTAAGGAATTTAATAACAAGCTTTTAGGACCTAATTAATGATATGCCACAAAATTGCTGACCTCCAAAACGTTTAACAACTGGACGATAGGGGCAGGCCTGGTGGCAAAGTGGTTAAGTTTGTGCGCTCTGCTTCGGCGGCCCAGGGTTTGTGGGTTCATATCCGGGCATGGACCTACGCACCGCTCATGAAGCCATACTGTGGTGGTGTCCCACATACAAAATAGAGGAAGATGGGCACAGATGTTAGCTCAGAGCTAATCTTCCTCACCAAACAAAGAAAAACAAAACTGGACCCCTAAATTAAAGTCAGCACTAGCTATCAGGGGCGAGTCATTTCAAATGTATAACAGTGCTTACCTTTATCATCTTGTTCTTCCTCTTCAACAGCTTCACGATCATCTTCATCATCTTCAGAAGGAACATCCAGATTTCTTTCCATTTCTGTGCCTTTTGAATGAACTGGATCTACCGTGCCACTATGTAGGTTTTCTAAAGACTGGAAGTTTAAAAGAAATTTTAAAAGCAAAACCATTGCCAGTGTTGTATCTTTTTCACCAAACACAAAAGGAGTATTATTAACAGAGCCTACAATTTTGTTCAAAGCTGCCAGATGTGCAAGCAATACCACAAAAGAACATGTGTGCTCCAGTTTAAATATGCACTCAAGAATGGTTTCTAAGGCACAAGGCCAAAGATGGAATACTTCCAGAAACAGGGTTCATTAATAGCATATAATGAACTGCCCCTGGGAATGTTATCATAAATTTTGAATTTAGATAATTTTAAACATTTTTTTATCATACTTCAATGTTTTCAATTCCCAAGTGGTAAATGTGGGTTTTAATATTACTTTTGTAATGAGTTTCTCTATATCACAAGTCAGTGTCAGTCACATTCTTTTTGAGTAAGCTTAAGGTTTAAATTATAAGCAAACAACAAACATGTTTAGGAAGTGTCAAAACAACAACAACAAAAAAGATTCAAATAACTTTAGGAATGAAATACTACAAACGTGAAATAAAGTTGTTTTTATTTTGGCTTAACAATATCTGATTTTCTCCCCTAAATGAAGATAATCAATTTAAGGAATGTTAGGATATTTCAAAATTGTTGCATCTGTAAAATTTTTTACTGAGAAGTGACAGGAAGAACTATTAAACCACAGTTCTCATTTTCTCTTTTTATTCAACCTTCCATTTACTAAATTTGAATTTAAAGGTTTTTAAAAAAGAGTATTAATTTCAGGCCTGGGAAAGGAAAAAAAGTGATCCTGTTCTTGATTTTTCATTCAAGTCAACAAACATACTTAGAAAAGCATTTTGAGACTAAACTTCTCTCATATGGGCATCAGGTTGCCTTCAGAGGTTCAACATACAGCACAAGTTTGTAGAAGTCCACAAGTATCCTATAAATGCACTACTTGAACAGTACCCCTCAGAGAAATGGCTAATCAATAAAGGAATATAATTTAGTATTCATGTTCTATTACTACTGTTAGCTCATATTCATTGAACGCTTATAAAATGCCAGACGTTATACTAAGGTCTTCACAAGTTAACACCTTAAATAACAATTATAACTGTTAACTGACTATCAAAAAGGCTAAGAAACTTGCCCAAAGTCACACAGCTAATAAATGGAAAAGCTGGGATTCAAATCCACATCTAAATTCAGAATCCACATTCCTAATCACTACCCACTACTCTGTCTCAAAACTAAAGAATCAGGAATCTAACCTCATTTTATAAAAAGAAAAATCACATCGACCTAAAGATGAGGAATAAAAAGTATGCATAATAGTGAACTTCTGTGTTTTTCTTCATTTTTCACTTAATTTGGCTAAATTTAGGCTTTACTTTCTTATTGTCCACCCCTGATTCATGAAATCTAACAAAGAAACTGGAAGTTGAGGGAAGGGGTAGAAAATACATAAATTGTAAAATACTATTTACAACATATAATAAAATCAGGGAAAACTGAACCATTTAAAACATTAGAAAATTATATATAATATAAAATATCCATAGTAAATAAAACCAAAGAAAGTAAAGAAGAATACTGAATGTATAAAACCAGAACGTCCAAATAAAAGGGGATACCTATTTCAATAGTGGAGAGGTGAATCACTACCCACATTGCAGGAAAAGATTAAAAGAAAGTGACCTAAAAGGGAAGACAGAAAACATACTAGTATGTTTTCTAGTATATAAAAATTAGTATACTACTACTACTAAAACATTATTCATAGACAATATAAACATATAAAGAAATATGAACTGGAAAACAAAATCTAATGTTACATAATTGATAGCAATCTCATTGTGTGGGACCAGTTTAAGATTAGGTAATATTTAATTAAATGTCCTTTGGGAAGAATTGGAAGTAATTTTCCATAATTTTAAACATACCTTAATCATCTCCATTTCTAAATCTTCATCACTTTCAATTACAAAAGATGTATCCTCTTCATTATCCTTGGAAGATAAATCCTTTAAAAAAAGTATTTCAAACATTAATTTCCAATATAATTGACTCCATACCCTCTTTTCTACAAAATTAAGGTCCTATACACTAGATATCTTTAGACAACTTCCTCTTCTTCTCTGATAGATAAATTTATAATGTGTATTTATGTTTATATGATAAATAGATAGAAAGGGAGAGAGGGTAGTAAGGAGGCAGAAAGAGAAGGAGAAATAAACATAAAAACAAAGAAAGAAACAAGGAACCAAATAAAAAGAGAAAGAAAGAAAGAAATATAACTGGAAAGACAGACAAGATAGACTTGAAATAAAGCCCACACTCTAAATGAAAATACAAAATGACAAGTCCAACTATGGTTAAACAATGTCAAACTGTGTTTCCCAAACTTGTTGAGTACAAGAACCTCTTGGCAATGCTGAAAACTTCTGTATAAAGCCAGGAACAACAGCTGTTCTTTTATATCCTCTGATTTAAAAAAAGATCACAAAAAGCTACTATGATTGTAATAATACCTTTAAATAAATTGCTATTGTACAAACAGCATCTACACATATTTGAAAAACAGTGTTAGAGAAGTTATTTATTCAGCCATAGCTGATGTTTGGATATGAGGAACTTTTACAATAATTTGGCAATCCCCAGGAAGCAAGTGTCCAACAGCATGGAATCTACACAAAAGAAACCCACAAAAGAAATATAGAAAAGGGACCTCCAAAAATGTCTAATCTTTAAATTGAAACTAGGAAAACGAAGTATAGCCTTAATTAACCTGCAAAAACTAATCTTTAAGAAAAGATTGTGCAATAAGCTTTACACAAGAGAAAAATTCTTTTACTTTTTAAATGGGGTCTTTAATGAGTAAAGGAAAAAATGCTAATAATTATTACATAACAAATGGCAATAATTGGGGTGAAAGATGTCAGTCAGATCATGAAATCTTGATCATAATTCTGTATCATTATTTGAAAAATACCATTTTAAAGTGTATATCTAATAAGAAATCTCTAAAAAATTAAAGGGTAATGCAGACGTCAGCAAAAGATAAGTCCCCAAAGGGGAATCTGATTTTCAAGTGGTTGGTATGAGAATAGTTTGAAAACAACTTTAAAATAAAATGCATTTAGGGCCGGCCCCATGGTGTAGCAGTTAAGTGCGCACGCCCTGCTGCTGGCGGCCCGGGTTTGGATCCCGGGCGCACATCGAGGCACTGCTTGCTTGTCAGGCCAAGCTGTGGCGGGGTCCCATATAAAGTAGAGGAAGATGTGCACGGATGTTAGCCCAGGGCCAGCCTTCCTCCGCAAAAGAAAAAAGAGGAGGATTGGCATGGATGTTACCTCAGGGCTGACCTTCCTCACAAAAATAAATAAAATAAAATAACATAAAATAAGTAAAATAAAATAATTAAAATAAAATAAAATGCATTTATATACTGATAGAAGTGACTGCTAATACAGTTACCAAACATAGAGAACTTCTCAAATACTGATACTTTGATTGCTATTAGAAAACTGAGGGGGAAATAACCCTATTAAATGACTTTCAAATCTAATTTTAAAAACTTAAAACTTAGTTACTGCAAAGGAAAATGTATAAAATTCTACCAAATATGGGCATCATAGGTAATTTTTTTAATTAATGAATAACAAATATGATAAAAGTATACAGCTATATGGTACCACTTTTTATGATTTGTCTTTACAATAAAAGAAACACAATAATTCCTCTACTACAATGTCACTGTTTCAAAAGATATGCTTAACTTAGCCAGGAGAAAAACATAATTTCACAAATTAATCAAATCAGAACATAATAATTAGAAATCTAAACATGAAGTCAATAGAGAATATAGAATATTCAACAATAATCTATCAAGAAAAAAACATAGATTACTGACTCTCCAGATGACAGTAAAAGTTAGTTTCAAGCAAAAACATTATTAGAAACTTTCTCACAACAGCAAGTACAGAAAATCTATATGAGGAAAGAAAAATACTCCCAAAAGTCAAGTTTGGGAGAGTAAACAGTAGTAGATATGTAGTGAATCCACAAAAAGCAGAGATATCTGCTATGAAAAAAACAGGAGAAATGCTGAAATAGCAAATTACAACAAATACGTATTGACACTATAAAATCTCTCCACTGTAAGACTATAAGATGCTGCTTATGTATGATGTATATAAGTCAGGTGCAGCAAACTATGGCTCACAAGCCAAATCTAGCCCACTTTTTGTTTTTGTAAATAAAGTTTTATTGAAATGCAGACAAGCTAATTTGTTTACACTTGTCTATAGCTGCTTTCACACTAAATTGGCAGAATTGAGTAGTTACAACAGAGACTATGTGGTCTACAAAGCCTAAAATATTTACTATCTGCCCCTTTACAGAAAAAAATCTGCCAACCCCCACTAGTGAATGAAACTGTTTTCTCTTGATTTAGTACCTCAGGAGATTTGCAAGTAACATCACTAAGATTTTTTTCCTGAGCCTGCTGTTCCAAAATTTGGAGTTCATATTCTGTAATATCTAATGACATCACACAACTTCTTTCTGTATTCTCTTTCAACTTATTGTCTTCTAGTCCATCTTCAAATCCACTGTCTATTTTTTTAACTTCATTTCCAAGTACATTTTCTCCATCATGTTTAAATAAATCATCAAGTGTTATGTCCCATGTCTCATCTTCAACTTCAGTAAAAATTGTATGTTCTCTAATTTGTTTCTGTTGTACTCCACCAACAGTTGGATCTTCCAATGGTGATAAGTTAAAATTACTGGTGGGCCCCAGTTCAGTCTCGATAGAACCAAATATCATCTTCCTCAATGAACAGAGACTTTCTGAAATATCCTTCAATAGTATAGAAACCCTAAAAAAAATTTAAGAAAGGTTAATTCAACTTTAATTTCATTAACTATAAGGACACGTTTTAATGCTTTTTAATAAGTAGAAGCTTTCTAAACTGACCTTCACTTAAAGGACAGATTGGATTAAAGTTGCTCTTCATTCTCAAATTCCCACTATACGCGTAAAGCTTGTGGGCTACTCTCTAGTACAACAAAGCACTTCTGCATTCAACAGTTGACGTGTATGCTTACTAGGCATCAGTAGTGTTTGCTTCCAAACTAATTGTTTATGCCAGTTATACTTTTTAGAGTAATTAATTAAATTAAATGTAAATCAAATCAATGATACATGACCACCAAAAAAAAACCATTTCTTTGAATTCTAAGTTGAACATGTGGAAAGACTTTGCAAATTTCCTTTTAAAAAAAAAAGTTCTGTGTGATTAACTATAGTCGTACTCCCTATAAAAGTTTGGAGGAAAAATCTTAAAAAACTCCTAGGACTCTGCATTCAAACTGCTTCAAGTGTCTTAAGTTTTCACTCCATTTTAAAGAAACTGAAACTAGAAATTGTAGATGATACATTATGGGTGTGCTTTAAACAAGAAACACTGCAGAACTCCAAGCAGCAAGCCTATATTTAATGAAAAAGCCATGATGTATTATCAAAAGATTGGGAACCAAATATACATTAATATATTAGTTAAGTTAAAAGAAAATTTTTATCATCTCATGTTTTACCTAACTTTTTCAATTTACCAATCAATTACTAGTCCCAACTGCAACACATAAGAGTATTTATGTTATAATTCAAAAATGATGCCATTTTGCATCTTCAAAAACCTTAAAACCAAACTCATATTCTTTGGAATAGAAAAAAAACTTCCCATCAGTGGGAAAATATGACAAATGAGAAAATATGGAAAAGATGTATATAAACAAATATGAACTGTATATCTCAACTCCTTAATTAGAGTTGCTAATACAACATTCTAACTAAGTGACTTTAAATGGCTATATTATAACCAAACCTGATTAACTGGAAAGGAAAACCACAGCTAGAGTGTAAAATGAGGCACACTATCTTGTCTGTTTGTTATAGGGCTTATTAAAGCAATTTTTAGTTACTTCATAAAAGTGGATATTAGAGGGAGAAAAGGGAATATGAAGAGCAAAGAGACATTTTACTATTTAACTAATGCTTTTGTTTAGCTCTTCTAATTTTTCTGCATTAAAATCAATACTTAATAAAAGCTGACATGACTTTCAAAGTTTTATACTGATGATTCAAATAAAAATTTGATCATTCACAGAAATAAACTATCAAAAATGCTGAGTTGTTTCCATACTAAAAATAACACCATTAACAGCAATCCAAAGTTGGGCTCACACTTAAGGTGACAAAGTCTACATCGGTACAAACAACATCAAAAGAAAAATTAAGTTCAGAACCTAAAAACTCACTAACACTCTAAATTTTTCAAATCTTATGAAGAATATTTAGCATTATACACAGGTATTCAAATATAAGAACTACAGGCATACCTCATTTTATCGTGCTTCACTTTATTGTGCTTCATAGATACTGCATTTTTCACAAGACCCTTCACCAGCAAAAAGATTACTACTTGTTGAAGGCTCAGATGATGGTTAGCATTTTTTTAGCAATAAAGTATTTTTAATCAAGGTATGCACATTGCTTTTTTAGACGTAATGCACACTTAACAGGCTACAGCATAGTGTAAACATAACTTTTATATGCACTGGGAAAGCAAAAAATTCGTGTGACTTGCTTTTTTGCAATATTCACCTTATTGCCGTAGTCTAGAACTGAGCCCGCAATATCTCCGAGGTATGCCAAAATACTTTAGTAGAAACAGATAGGTGACACAGTTTAATTGTTAAATGCATAGAGAATGCTCTCATATATAAACATAGCAACAGTGACACACACATTGACTGACAAGATCGTAAGGGCTCATTTGTCTTGTGCTAACATCAGAAAATGACACGTTTCATGTAAGATAACTATTTACTCTAACACATATCAAAGGCTGTCCTACCTTCTTCAATAAAGCTTAGTGTACTTTTCCTTCTTTCTCAGGATTATTATTATGCATATTAGCAGCCTGCAGACAGTCTCAAGACCCAGCAGAATGTCAAGTACATGACAGCAATATAACAGACATGTATTGAATTTAAATCAATGACTAAGTAGTACTATATAATCCAATACCTTCCAGGCCCACTGAAGCATAAAGCTGTTCCCTTCTGTAACAAACCTCAAACTGCTCTATTTCAAGAGTTCTTAGTTTGAATTTTTAAAGTTTTATCCACTCCTTCACAGACTGCCAGCTGCAACTTCCAGCTGTTGTCATGTGCCTACCATTTGTTATCTATACCTGGTTTTCATTTTAAATGGATATCCAAGCTTGTCAAACAAGCAAATATGCTCTGAATGTGGCCTCCTGCACTCCACTGGGAATGCAGTTAAATGAGTTTGAATTCATGCTGATGGCATATATTTTGGCTGTTCAGAGGCCTTTTTTGTTCCCTCCCGGCTCTGAGGTGTAATCTAGATAAGTTAGGTATTAATATAGACTGCTTACAAAGAACCTGAAAATAAGAGATTTAACTAGTTCTTGTTTTGACATTAAAACAAGATTTATCTTTACTAAAAATGAATCCAGTATTTTCCATTCTTAAGTTTTAAGAAAACCTATTGAGCTTTGGTATTACAAAGCAAAGCATTAAGCATATGTAATTTACATTCAGTAGAAATGTTAATTGCTAGAACAAAAATCTGAAATGCATGTAAACATCACGTAAATGGTGATTTTTCTTCTTTCATGAAAGGAAAAATGTAAAAATGAATATGAAATGGCTTTATTGGTACCCTTCCCCATCTGACAGTGACATCTTTCCAAAATTCTCAAAGTTACTAAAACTACTAAAACAAATTGCTAGGAGGAAAAATGACTCTGAAAAACAGCTAAATTTCTATATTATATTTTGAAATCTCTCAATCAAAATATATATCACAAATCTCATCCAAAAAAGAATACATTAACATCACAATGTGTCAGAGTCAGAATTCTATTTCAACTAACTGCTTCACATTTCTACAAAGTATTTTTGACTCAAAATTATATTAACACATTGTAATCATTCACTGTTTAAGAGCATTCCTGCTTTGAAAGGAAGTAATGCAGCAATTAAGGCTAGGGCAAGGCCTGGTTCCAAAAAGAGTCAGCTATACGGCACCAGCAGTCCAATGTCTATTAATCCAAATATCTCTAGTTATCTAGTGCTTTAGCTATAAAAAGATCTTTAAAATCTGAATGCCTCTTGTTCTCATTGTCTACTGATGCATAAAAGTTGCTTTTATTTATAGATTTCAAGTGACTAAACTATAAATATAATTAAATGAAAGATGTCCATAAACAGAAAGAAAAATATAACTTTGAATCTTAAATATTTTACTTCATGTGGACTTATGAATTTTATTCTGCTTTGTTTCATAAAACATCCTATAAAGCAGACAGAGAAGCCCTTAAACGTTTTGATACATAATTTAACAATTGGCAAGATATTTCTTAAATTTATACATTAGTTTGTGTGCATATATTCAAGGAAATTTATATGAGTCTACCCTAACGAAAAGTAATTTTTCATATATAGGAAAATGCAATAGGAACAAAAAGAATCGATAAAAACAGATAATATTTAACCTCTGTGGATTTTCCAATTTTCTGAAAGTGTCAGGAAGATGCTTAACCAGATCCAGCACATCCTCAGAGATTGAAGTCAATTGTTTCTTCACATCACTAGGCAGTATTTCCTCCTCTAGAAAAACAGAATCAATATTAATTTTCAAACCACAAAGCAGAGATATTTATTTAGCCATTTATTTAAACAGTATTAGGGCTCACGTGTTCATTTTCTTTCCTTCAATGAATTCCAACAAAAAGACTTCCTTATCCTATACCCAAATCACCTCAGTCACTTTACTTCCCTTTCAAATTTTGCTATTTAAATTTTAGAATAAATGCCAAGTGATGTGCAGATATACATATTACAATCAAGTGGTTATCAACCTAGCCAGAAACAGAAGGTAGAAATAAGACTCTGAACCCATCTGTACTCTTTTAAAATCAGAAATCAATATAACACCATGTTGGCTGCTACTTATTAAATACAGTTTGGTAAACGTAACCTTACCCAACAGCCATTCCTCACTGCCCTCATTGCCAGTCATCACCAAAATAACATGCAAGCCTTTCTAATCAGTGATCATCTTCCAAACTCGCAACTTCATTCTGTCTGGTACACCATTCTCCACCAACACCACATAACCTGCCCTCCTTTCCCAAATCCCTCCTCTGCTTAGAATTTCTTACTCTTCATCAACACTTCTCTCTCTCTTTTTTTTTTATAATTTTATTTTTCCCCCAAAGCCCCAGCAGATAGTTGTATGTCACAGCTGCACATCCTTCTAGTTGCTGTATGTGGGACGCAGCCTCAGCATGGCCGGAGAAGCGGTGTGTTGGTGCGTGCCCAGAATCCGAACCTGGGCCGCCAGCAGCGGAGCGCGTGCACTTAACCGCTAAGCCACGGGGCAGCCCCAATCAACACTTCTCTTGTCCTTCAAAAAGTCCAGCTCCTCTGAAGCACACAACATAGGATTATACCATCTGCTATTCCTGATTGGTGCAGTTATCTTGTGATCTCAAAATAACAACCTTTCATTCATTGAAGATTTTAGTGCCTAGTTCACTGTCTTTCCCTTCACTACTACTGTAATCCCTAGTGATTTCAACATTTGCAGAGATGCTCTACCTAAAAGTATGGCCTGTTCAGTGCCTTCATCTCTCTATTTCCAACGTTTTCCTCAGCTGACCTCAGCCACCCATTCCTATAGTCACACCCCTGACCTTATAATTGCCAATAAAGTCACCACTTCCAAACTTCAATTGTAGGCATTACACCTTCTGAACATCAGCATGCTTTCTCCAATACAACAATTCTTTCACACTTTCGGAACTAAATCCATTGACCCTACACCTTTTCCTTATCCATTACCCTTCCCACTCCCACTCCCCACCATGTCTCACTTTCCTTTTTTACCCATATTATAGTAATCATTCCCTTCTATGGACTCTCAACTCTTTTGCTCTTTTCTCTCTCCACGGTACTTACCTGGCAAAACCCCCACTCTAACTAAACCCAGCTTTTTTATCAACTTGATGCCTATATCAAGCAGTTGAATATAGCTGAAAATAAAACACAACTATGACGACTCACTTCACTTTGCTTTAAACTCATGACACAGATCTCAAATGAACCCTCAGTGATGACTGGTAATTATTCTATATTTCCCACTTTCCCACTTTCAAGATGACTATTTCATACCTCTTTCTTTCTCTCCAAGACCCCAACATCTGCTTGTCCCTCCTTTTACTCAGGGAACAACTTCACCCCTTATGTCACTAAGAAAATAGAAAAAAGAAGAAAACTATTTCATCTTCTCACCCCCAATCTGCTAATTCATATCACTATTCCCATTTACAGCAAAACTCGTTGAAAAAGGTGTCCATACTCACTGTCTTAATTTTCTACTCCCATTTTCTCCTAAACCGACTCCAAGTAAGCTTTCACCCCCACCAGTAGGGCACAGCTGCTTTGGAAAGGTCACCGATGGCCTCCACACTGTCAAATCTAATTGTTGATTCTAGTCCTCATCTCACTCAAACTCTTGGAGGTATTTAAAATAGTTGGTAACTTCCTCATACTTAAAACGTGTTCGTCACTTAGCTTCTGAACACCACACCTCCTATACTTCCTCCATCATTCCTGCCCCTTCTCAGTCCTCTTGGCTGCACTCTCCTCCTCTTCCTGAGTGTTGGCCTGCCCTTGATGTCAGTAATTGGGCCTCTTCTGTTCTTTATTCCATTCACTCCCTATTTTATCTCATCTAGTTTCACTGTTTCAACTACCATCTGTATGCTGATGATTCCCTAAGTCACATCTTCAACCTCAACCTTTCCCCTCAACTACAGAACCACATTTCCAACTAAGATACTTTCTTGGATATCAATAGGCATCTAAAATTTAGCATGTCTAAAACTGAAATCTAGATTTTTCTCACCAAAACCTGCTCTTCCCATAATCTTTCCGCTGTAACTGGCCCTTCCATTCACTCAGCTGATCCTACCAAAATACCTTGATTCTTACCCCGTATGGAGAATTCATCAGCAAATCCTTCACAATATATACCTTCAAAATATACACACAATCTGCCACTTCTCACCACCTCTACTGCTACCAGCCTAGTCTGGACAATTATCCTCTCTTGCCTGGACTATTACAATAGCCTAAACACTTGCCCTCTTATAGCAGCCAGAAAAATTATTTTAAAATAAACATTTAATCCTGCCATTCTCCTGCTCCAAATCCTGTAAGGGTTTCCCATCACTCATCATTGTATTTATTTTAGATAATAAAATATTAAGTCAGAATCACAGCTTATAAGGCCCTAAATGATCTAGACCAAGTTACTTTTTTAGTTTCATTTTCCTACTACTTCCACCCTTACTCATTTCTCTTCAGTTCTACTCACTGTTCCTCAAACAAGGCAAGCAGTCACCCTCAGAGGCTTTACTCTTTCCTTCCCCTATGCCTGCTATGTTCTTCCCTCAGGTATCTGCATGGCTCATTCCCTCACTTCAGTCAAATGAAGTGAAGGGGCTGGTCTGTTTTGTTTAGTGCATTTTCCCCAGCAACTGAACAGTGCCTGACCGATAATAAACACTCAACAAACATGTTATATGAATAAATGAATATTCCTTTTCCAAACCAAGCTTCTAAAAAAAGTTGTTTACACATGCTTTCTCACATTGCTTAGATCTAACTTAGTCCTTTATTCACGTTAATATGATTTCACCCACATCATTCCACTACTCCACTCTTGCTATGGTTATAGCACCTTCATGTTATCAAGCCTATGGACCCTTTTCTGTTTTAATAGCACAAGCCCCAAATGACCACTCTCTTCGAAACACTCTTTTGTCACCCAGCACACTTTTGCTGTAGTAGAGGGTTACAAATCACTGCCACATTGCCAAATCTAATAATTAATTCCAAGTCCTCAGTTTCTCAAACTCTCAGCTGAATTTAAAAGTTGATAACGTCTCCTACTGAAAACATGTTCTCCACTTGGCCTTTTGCACACCACACCTCCTAATTTCCTTCTATGCCTATGGCAACGCCTCTGCTGTCCCCTCCTCCATGCAAACTTTAAACACTAAGAGTTTCTCAAGAGTCTAAGCCCCAATTCTTTATCTCTAACTCCCAATTCTTTACCTTTAATTCAAACTGTCAACTGAGTTATAGGCTGTATATCTAAGTGCCCACTGGCCACCTCCACTTTGATATATCACAGCTTCCTTCCTTTAACATATCTAAAATCAACTGAATGACTCCTCATCCCCAAATCTTGCTCCTCCTTTTCAATGTTTTTCATCCCTGTTCCTCACGCCAACGACACAGGAATGACCCTTGACACATGGCTCTCATCATCACATCAAATTCTACTGATTCTACTGCTCTATTAAATGTATTTTGAATCTAGCCACTTCTCTATCCTCAATACAACCAACCAAGCCAGGTCACCATCACCTCCTCACTTGAATTACTGGCACAGCCTCCTAACGGGTCTTCCCACTGTGACCCTTGCCTCTGACAATCCATTTCTGCTCTATAGCCCCAGTTGTTGTTATTTTTTTTTAATGTAATTCATGTCACCCTTGTGTTTAAAACACTCAATAGCTCTTAGGAGATAATGTAAACTCCTTAACATGCCCTATCTGCTTTCGTGTTTCTGCTTCTCCTTCATCCCTCATCCTGTCATATTCCATTGTTCACCATACCAAACTACTTTCAATTCTCTATTGATAACATGATTTCTCTTACCTCTGAAACTCTGCACCTGCTATTTCCTGTGCCTACGACACTTTCCATGTACTCTTCAGCTAGCTAAGTCCTGCTCATATTTCAGGTCTTGCCTTAAACATCACTTTCTCCAGAAAATATTCTCTAATACCTAGAAATATGCAGTGGATGCCTCTCCTATGTGCTAACAACTGCACCTTGTTTTCCCACATCATAAAAAATCATCTCCCTACATTGCAATTGCCTTTTTTGTTCATCTGTATCTCCCATTAAACGGTAGGTTTCCCTCTCAGGAAACAGATTATGCCTGTCTTGTTCACTACTGTATTTCCATACTGTAAAGTGCTCAACAATATTTAATAAAGGAATAAATACATAATTAACTACTATCTGATTTAGTGCTTATTAACTACCTAATATTTTAACAGTGAGGAACAATGTGAAAATATCCTTTTATTTCCTGATGTTCTAATCTATTTTTATCCTTTAGTAAAAAGAAAAAACACAATCTTATAACATAAACTGAAAGTGGTCATTTGAAAACATCATCTATGTATACATCAGAGAAATTCAAGAAAGGTGAGGCTGATACCTCTGGCTTAATAACACGAAGGAAGGAAGGGAGGGAGAGAAAAAAAGAAATGATAATCTTAGTTAAAATTCCCTGGGATGCTAGTCAAGTTACTTCTCTTCAGATATTACAATATACTTACACAGATAACGTAATAGAGGATAGAAGTAAGGGTCAAAGAATGTAGTATTGCAGTGACAGGTACACAGACACCAGGACTTCAGTACCAACTTATAAATATATGTTACTTTAGTGAGAAATATCTTAAATGTTCCTCAGAAGCATTTTAATCAGACAAAATTGCGAGTGTCACCTACGAGCAATTCTGCAAACTATAAAATCAGAAAATTATGAACCCCCTCTGTTGAATTTAATTCTAATACGAGTTAAATAAGTTCTTATATATAAGGAGAGAAAGAAGTATTAGAAATCTTCTACCTTAACATGTAAAGAGGCAGGGTCTACCACAGAGGGTATGGATCCCTTCTCAATGACAATTATAAAGGATATTATACAATTTTATATGAGGACGTCATACCATATTTTTAAATTTATTTAGCAAAATCACCTAATTTAATTAACATCTTAACAACCATAATTATTTAAAATCTCCAAAAAGCAGCCATAAGAATAGTAATAACAGCTCTATACAGATCGATATAGGTGCTTTGAATATTGTGTCTCTTTTAGTGCTCACGACTATTCTATGAAATAGATATTATGCTATCACGCACATTCCCAACACGGGGAAACGGGTGAATTCCAGGTCACATGGCTGGGACTCCACTGCTGGTCTATGTGACACAAAAGCCTGTGTTCTTCCACGCTACTCTGCAGACCTGCCATCAGTGACCTATCGAGATATCAGAGACAGGCACTGGAGATGAATGGAGTGGCCATTCTTTCTGGGGAAAAACAGCAGCGTTATCCTACCCTGGAGAAAATTTAGAAATTTAAACCAGGGCACTATAAAGCATCTTATATACCTTAAATTTTTATAGCAAGGATGTGTAATCCCCAGACTGGGAGACAGCTGGCTGTATCACTGATGTTTTCAAAGCCACAGAGCCCCAACGCTAGAAGGCTAAGCAACAGCAATGCTACAGAGTAAAAGTAGTAAGTCTTGCTTTGCCAAAAGTAAAATGGCTGAAACCCTAAGCTTTGGTCAAATAGATCTTACCCTAATGTCAAAACTGCCCAGGCACTCAAGAAGTTGTCATAATACTTAGTATTTCACACGTGTGAATATTGTCTTTTTGGAGATAAACCTCACAAAAGAGCAAATTAAAATTTTATCTTTTATTTTAGATCATAACATACCTTTATTTATAGCAAACATTTGCATAGCATCACCCAAAATTTCTAATTTTCGATAAATAATGAGGCCAGCCTACAGAAAAACGGAAAAATGAAAAGAGCATACTAAAGATCACCAAAATAAAACTCTATGTCCCATCTTTACAAAAATCCAAAACAACGATTCCCAAAGCACCCAAAAAGCTGAATTCAACCTATTATGTTATGCAAAGATCTAAATGCCTTCATTTATTCACCACTGCAATTGTGAGAATGAACAAATTAAACGATCTACACCTTAAAATAAAAGTTTAAGTTTTCACCTTTTAACATCCAATATTATAAGCAGGTTATCCCAATCAAATGACTTACAAATGGAATTGAACAAAATATAATCAAATAAGAGAAATCTGGTTTTTTTGTGGGGTTTTTTTTTTTTTTTTTTTTTTTTGGTGAGGAAGACTAGCCCTGAGCTAACACCTGTTGCCAATCCTCCTCTTTTTTTTGCTGAGGGAGATTGGCCCTGGGCTAACATCCATGCCCACCTTCCTCTACTTTATATGTGGGATGCCTGCCACAGCATGGCTTGATACGCAGTGCACAGGTTCAAGCCTGGGATCCGGACCTGTGAACCCCGGGTCGCCAAAGCAGAATGCGTGAACTTAACCACTACATCACCAGGTTGGCCCAAGAGAAATCTGTTTTGACTATAGATATCCATTCCCCATATCTCATGAAATCAGCTGAGAACATTAGGGTATAAACAGTCCTCCTTCTAGGTTTACTATTTATAAGAACAATGAAGTCACACTGATGTTTCATGGATAAAAATGCTACAGAACTTGTGTTAGTTCTGAACAAGTTTTATGATGTTTTTAAACAGAACATAAGGGAAAATTATCCTATTTCCCAAAAAAACTGCATTTTTTTCTGTTTATGGATAAAAGGAGCTTCCATTCCTAAAAACAGATGCAAAAAGGGAAACAAGATACTCATCTACAAATATAAGTATGAATTAGGGAAAAATAAATCCACTGGGACATAAAATACATTTCTTGAGAAAAAGAAACCAGTAGTGCTATATATATAAAGATAAGCCCATATTTCACTATAAATATGAAAATACATCTGAGTAACAGCTAAATTTGGAAGTAATTTTTCTAAATTTTTACCACATTTAAATATAAATATAAGAAATAAGGCCAGTTTCAATATAGAAACTCTCTTGTAATTATTTTATTCTGAAGTTGCTTATAAATCAAATACATCATCAATACCATTTGTGCTTGCTCAATCTGGGCTTATTAGCGTTTCATGTTTTCAGAGAACTCACATTTTTTACATACAAATTAGACATTATTTTGGCTTCATGACAATAAAAATAACTAGCATTAAACAAACAATCTGTTGATTGGTACTTGCTAATTAATATTGAGAATTAACAGTTTCACTAAACGTCTTCCTAAGCATTTTTAATGCCAAACTGATTTAAAATATTTTAGTTGAGTTTGTGCCACAATAAAATTTTTCTAAAGTAATTTATTATAAGGTTTAAAAAATACATCATAGTCTAAAGATCTTTGTTACATACATAAGCATCAGTGGCTGCATACACTTTCTGATCTTCAGTGAGAGGAAAATTATTCCAATTGCTACAGCGGACAGACTTGTCTTTCAGAAGCTGTTTACCAAACAGGTGTTGAACCAAACCATTGAGGCTCCAGGTCTCTGCACATCTCAGCTAGAAGTAATAAAAAACCAACATAGCAAATATCACTTCCTTCTATTTTCGGATATTCCTAAATACCACCAAATGACTATGCCACAAATAAAGTTGGAAATGTTATACCAAAATATAAGGAAGGCAGAGATAGTCCTCAATAAATTTCCTGTCACTAGAAACGTCATTTGCAGTGGTAGTCCTTAATAAATTTCCTGTCACTAAAAATCTCCTTTGCAGTACACATTATAAGAATTTAATTCTGGGATCAAGACTATGCGGTGTGTGAGTGTATGTATATGCATGTGTGTGTGTGTGTATATATATATATATATATACATGGAGTACTACTCAGCCACAAAAAAAGATGAAATCTTGCCACTTACAACAACATGGATAGACCTTGAGGGTATTATGCTAAGTGTAATAAGTCAGATGGAGAAAGACAAATACTGTATGATTTCACTCATGTGGAAGATAAAACAAAATAAACAAACAAAACATAAAACAAAAAGAAACACATAGTTACAGAGAAGAGATTAGAAGTTACCAGAGGGGGAGGGGAGTGGGGAGAGGGCAAAATGGGTAAAGGGGGCCAACTTCGTGGTGGAAACTAGATTTTGGTGGTGAGCACATTATAGTATACACAGAAGTTGAATTATAATGTTGTACACATGAAACTTACATAATGTTATAAACCAATGTCAGCTCACTAAAAAAGTTAAAAATTAAAATTAAAAAAATTTAATTCTGGAATTTCCCCAATAGGTACTAAAATTCTTGGACTGTAAAGTATTGTTCATGGAAAAAAGTTGAATAGGTTGGTAGGCTTTCTACTTCCCAGCCAAAGAATACTTGGCTAAATACGAGAATTTAACTTAATGACTACATTAATAAAATATGTGAAATATAGGTAATGGAACTGATAGTCAAATTTCCACTAAGAGCATCATACCACTGGAGCAGCATTATGCTCTCCCTTAAAAAAAGAAAAAAGGTATTGATATAAATGGATGAAAGAGAGAAACTTAAAATGCAATATTTAAATTTGCAAATATATGAAACAAAGTGCAACAATACTAAATATGGGGGGGTTGCTTGTTTAAAGAAATTATTTGCTAAGGCAATGGATTAGAACTAAAGGTTTTTGTTATGTAACACTCATTTGGGACTTCTTTATTGTTACAAAAACATTATACGGCTTAAATTCTTTTTTCAAAAAATCTAACAGTCAGATAGAGGGGACATTCAGTGAAGTACAAATTTATCTTGTTTATGAAAATAATATATGTATTACATTTACCTTTTCATTTGCAACATCTCTCAGCTCCAGAAAACTCTTCAATTTGATGTCAAAGTCACGCAGAAGTTTCCGCTGATCTCCTTCAATTCCTACACCTGCTTTTTTAATTGCTTCATTTTCAAGCAACATTTTTAATCCCTGAGGAAAACCTGTAACATTTTATTATGATTTCCACAGGTTCTATCAAGTATGATGGATTTATTTTCTACTTCCTACACATTCTATATTTAGATTTAGGTTTAGGTTTATATTAAGTTTAAATTCAGAAACACCCTCACTTTGAGTATTTCTTTTCTTACGTAAAGCAAAAGTTCTGGGCCGGCCCTGTGGCTTGGTGGTTAAGTGCGCGCACTGCAATGCTGGTGGCCCGGGTTCGGATCCC